TATAGCAGAACTGGCCGAAGGAAGGTACTGTTCTGTCGTTTCTAGAACTGGCCGAAGGAAGGTACTGTTCTGTCGTTTCTAGAACTGGCCGAAGGAAGGTACTGTTCTGTCGTTTCTAGAACTGGCCGAAGGAAGGTACTGTTCTGTCGTTTCTAGAACTGGCCGAAGGAAGGTACTGTTCTGTCGTTTCTAACTAGAAAATCATAAACAAAAAGGTTTTTGAATAGACTTTAGCACCACACTAATACATGATTGCGAATTAAAATGAAGGTTAAACATTTTAATTACGGTACATGATTAGAACATCACTGTTTTATCTTTTGTGGGGTTAGAAAACGAATTCACAAACTGAAATTTCATTTGAGCAGACTTAAAATAACTGCCAGAAATTAAATTATTGGTCAATTTAAATCAACATTGATGATGTAAACTTACCGGGAAAAGATGAGCCTCTGATATCCGATATTTAAGATAAAATAATTTGTTTAACATTGGTATCGTGTACCATAATGCGCTTCAGCCCCAGTTGTATTGAGAGACTCGAGGGACGAGGCTAGACACATTCCACCAAATCAAATGGAGTTATGTAGACTAGAATAACTAGACGCTAGAAATTTGCACTCGATTGAGATTGCTGACTTATTTCGCCGAACATAACTAATTTGAAATTGGAGTAAAAACGGAAACCATTAAATGTAAATCAGTTTATATACATTCATATTACAGTATTATATGCCTTGCGACCCACTTTTGTGAATTTCTAGGTCCCAAATGTTAGCGATTTAGCTCCTTTAAGGACACTCATAATTCTCTCAACTGGATTTTTCCAGCTGTGTTGTGGTGGCGTCCAAGAAGATAGCTAAAAGTGACATTTGGACTGAGAGATATGTGAGACCGTGATCTAGTCCACCATCAGTGTACATAGTCATAGACAGAATGGGCTTAACCGGTCCGATTTGAGTTAACAGTTGCTTCAGTTCAGTCATTCATATGACGGATAGGCGATAATGGCTGGAAAGCATTTTCTTTCAAAACTACAAATACTCTGCCCCTGTGGAAACTTTCTTCAATTGTTTCTGGGACGTCAATCACCAGAGACACACTAGTGGTGAGGCTCAGACGGGTGAATTTATGATCAGACACAACAAATTTCTTTCCCATGGTCACTATGACACCTTTTCCCCTTTCAACCGAAGCAACTGAACAGCCAGGTTCTCCTATTATGATAGTGTGTTTATCATCGAGACTTACAAATGATACATGGTCCCTGAATTTCATCGCCAATTCTATTTCATATCTGAAAAGAGCCGATGCATAGTGGGCATCTAAATGGTGTGCTCGGAACTAGCGTGCTTGAATCATGAACTTTACCTTTAGATTTCCAGTGTAGTGGCTTGCAGTTTTTGCTAATGGCAGTCGTGGCCAAAATTGTAACCTTAGCAACTGGATACAAGATACTGGCGTACCGTCGGGACACGTTTTAGAGACTTCATCATGTAAATCACGGACACTTAATGCAGTAGCAAGGTGAGTGATGACATCATCATCCTGGACCGTATCATGTCGCCTTTGGGATACAAACATGCATGTCAAGTTTAATCAAAATCGGATCACAACCTTAATATACAAGATGTTTACACTATTTACGTACGAGGGGCGGCCATTTTGTCCGGCAGTTTTAGTTCGATTTTCACGAAATTGAAACTTAACCAAATTTACGGTGTAACGGTGATATATTCGAACGTTTTTTTTTAAATCCGATAATAATTGTAACCTTCACTTGATTTGATATTTGTCTATTTTCTGTCTTGTCCGCAGGTTTATCTTGTAGATTTTTGTTTTGCGTGTAGTGCGGTCCTCCTACACTTATTGTTAAAGGGGTCACATGCCAATATCGAGATCTTTGGAAGATAGACCAATATTTCAAGTTTCATCAAAATTGGATAATAGTTGTAACCAGTAGAGTGTCCACAAACAAATTGTGGACGCACGGATCGACGTCCGAACGGACAGTGGCGACGGCATAATATGTCCACATCAAAATGTGGGCGTATAAAAAAAACCTTAAAAGAAAGACCTTGGCCTATCCGTCTCGATTTTTCTTTTTCTCGAGTTATTTTCTTCAGTCTTTCTTTCCCCAGCATCTCAGTCTTGTGCTTTATCCTACACATTAACCATAACTTTTTTAAAATTTCGCTCTTAATCTAACTTGTTACCCCATTCTTGGCTAGAATACCTACAAAATTAAATTAATTTCCCCTGCAAATTGAAAGAAAATATCGGATATAAAATTAAGTAATTAAAATTGAGTAGGTTATTATTAATGTACTACTTAAAATTGAAGATTTACTGAAAAAAAGAAACACAATTTTTAGAATTTTGTAGATCAAATAACTGTATTCAATGACGTCATTTTAATTGTTTTCAATCACGTCCGCGTTATAAGTATATAGTATAATGCTGTGGTTATAATTTTTCATTTTCATAAAAAAAAGTTTACTGATAGCGTGAGTACATCTTAGCATTGTCCTTTTTGCTTTTTATTTTGTGTTATTTTTTCTTAATTTATGTCCTTATATCTCTACGTTGATTTCATATTTTAGTTGAATTCTAGTGTATTATTTGGATTATGCGATATTTCGGCATTTTCATGTAAAAACTAAATGGCGGCGCAAATCGCATCGTGATCATAACTTTTTTGTTAATTTAATCCTTTGAGACTGTGAGAGGATATCTGACAATTCAAAACAGAAATTGACTGTCAAAAAATATAGAAAAGGTCCGTGCATTACCATGTTTTTATTAAGTATATTATATAGAATAAATAAAAACAAGTAGATGTACGGACTATTTCTATTTTTCTCGTGTTCTCTTATCTAGTGACATTCAATTTCTTTTTTGAATTGTCAAATATTCTCCCAGAGTCTCACATAACAACTTTTGGTCGTCGAAGAAATTATTACTGAGCAGAAATTCGTTCGTGTATCTGTTATCACTCGTAACTTCAGTCAGTCATATTATAGAAGGGTAACACGTGTTTTCCTTTTGTGTTCGTCACTTCCTTTTGTAGAAACCTTCATTACGCACCTATCGTAGCATTGATCTCTGTGTTTAAATTGTATTGGGAACGTGTTTAACGAATTCTATCACATATGTGATAATGACTGACACCAATATTGCCCTTTAAGATCAGAAGCGGATTACCCCATAGACTGTGTGTAGTTGCCTTAAGGCCCAGACAACAATCTGACCCAAAAATGTTACAAATTTGAACTATATTCTATTTCTCTTCTTTGAAGAGATATGAATTTAGAAGTTCTATTGATTACATTTTTATTTTTATTTGATACTTGTCTCTGGGCATCACTTGGTTGGCGCAGATACACTGATGATATATGGTAATTCCAGTCTAAAGCCCATTTGCGAGCGCGTCTTCGCCGGTTACATGTAACTGTACAATTAGACCGATTTTTTTCGCCCGCGAAAACGCGTACATGGTAAACGGCCACCCGAGCTTTGGCTCTCCTTTGCTTCCTAGATGTAGAAATACGCCTGATTTTCTCGTGACAAAATCAGTGAATACTGAATGTTTCTTGGATTTATGACAAAATTTCAGAGCCACTGTGTGCTTTTTAAATTTTTGACAATTAAATCCGCATATATGCGTTCTCTTAACATATCGTTCCAACATGGACCTTTACATAAAACCTCCATTAATGTTGTCACTGGGCTTTGTTTTAAGCATTATTGATATCTCCATTTATAGGCATTGATTGATAAAATCCAATCCATTATTTCATTTTATCACGGAAGTTACGGTGTCTCAGTAAGTGGGGCGTTGGCTAGTGAACCTCAACAGATCAAATGTTCGATCCCTGCATTTGTCAAGACAGTTCATCGGGATAAAGTTTATCGTACTGAAAAAAAACCCCGTAAACATGCAGATTTATTAGATACGATTTTTCTTCCGCTACTGATAATGAAATATGTCTTGTAATGTAATGAGATTTAATTACACTAAATAAAAGTTTCCATTGCGGCTAAATCATGCATGTTTTACAAATGCAGTCTAAGGGAGAAAACTAAGAAGAGAGTTCAATTTGTTTTGGAATCAGACTACTAATTCTCTCTATATAGTTTTTAATATTCCGATGATTTTAATCTTTATAACTTCAAAGACTAAGAGCTCCACCCCTTGTAGCATTGAGTATAATATTGGTTGAATAACCATATAAATAAAGCTATAAAATGAAAAAATTGTTTGCCGCTGTCTAATTTTCATGTTCTGCCCCTACTGGGCTAATAAAGATGGGCATATGCCATGCAGTGTGCTATGAGGGAAATTTTGTCCGGACAGCGGTGCTATAGCCAACTCTTATTTCGAATTCCAACTGTTGAGGGTTCTTTTACATGCATGCCAATGTGTACTTTCATCCCATCCGAACGACTATACATTGTCCCTTGGCAGGCCCACCGTCCTAAACCACTGACAAGAGGGAACCACGTTGGATAATCCTGATGAAGTTTCTCGGCAAACGCAAGAATCAAACATGGGACCTGCAGGTTAGCGAGCCAACATCCTACCACTGAGCCACCGTGGCTCCCATGCACAGTAAGAAATCTAACCTCTACAAACCTGTAGGTGCCACACACCCTTAAAGAGCAGTTTCAGTCTAAATAACAGGATATGCTGATGGTTTTTTTACAATTCTGTATATAGGAAAACAATCTGATCAAAACACAGATCCTATTTCATTTCGTTTTTTATAGTTCAAAATTTCGTTCTACTTGTCCTTACTACACTAGAATCTGGAAGAGTTGTTATATTACCGGCATGCACGGAACTGTGGGTAAACTACTAGAAAGGTCAACGCTGATTGATTAATCAATATCCGACGCCATAGGGTCAAAAGCCACTCGTAAGACCCCTGACACGACCTTCGAGTACAACTTGTCAGATCTTCATGTAGTGTAGGCCATCGAAAGTAAAAGAAATAAAAGAAGAAAAATATATATTTATTTATAAAAGGATTTCATATAACAAAAAACAATAGAAAGATCCTATGTATCATTGTATATATATATCATATAAAGGCATAGATATCAAAACCTAATTCAAAAGATCACATACCATTTTTAAATCTTACATTCAAAGCAATTAGCTTTCAAAGAAATAAACAAAATGTATAAAAATTATATCATAAGATATTATTGAAGGCTTGATGGTCAATTAAATTTTCACTAAAATGTCAAATTTCTCATGGCTTAATCCATGATTAATATGTACTCAGATAAATTATTTAACATTTAATTAAACATGCATTATGCAATTTCCTAGCTTAATCTATATCAGGGGCGTGCTGGCAGGGAGTTTAGGAGGACGGTGTCCTCCCAGGCCCCCATTAAACAATAAGTCCACCCGTATAAGCGGCCCCCCTGAGAGCTCTAATTTTCACGCAGAATCCCCTCAAAAAATTGAGAGTGCGCACGCGAAAAATCATACATACACAACGATTAGTAAAATATATTATGCTGACATGCAAATGTCTGTCACCTTAAGGTGAAATGGTCTTTGATACATGTATTCATGCTTCGATATGTATAAGATGCAATTTATTATTTGGATAGAAATACATTGTATTAGCATTATATTAAGCAGACCTGTCATGAGTGTCTTGTGTAGTACAGTAGTATGTCTTATAGTCAAAATAGCAGCATAAATTTGGAAAATATGATACCTAGATTTCTCCCAGAAGTGCTTGCAATACGGTTTTCCCGTCGTCAAATTTCAAAAATTTTCTGGGGGGGAGAGCCCCCAAAGACCCCCCTACCAGCGGCGCGCCTTCGGCGAACGATGGGCCCCTTCGGGACCAGTCCTCCCGGGCCCCTTTGGAGCCAGCACACCCCTGATCCATATTAAATATGTACTCAGATTAATAATTTAACATTTAATTAAGAAAACAAAACAAAACTACCAGATGCTAGGTAATTGTGAACATCGGGGCCAGGTTTTCCGTACCAATACTGCTCAAGCAGTATAAATCAATGAAATTTCAATCAGTCATAACTTTGTAAAAACTGAATGAAATTGAACTATTTTTGGACTGATATTCTTATTTAGAGATTCAACTTTTATAATATTGTAATTTACATGGGATTCATTTAGCGCTAAATGACGCATCAAATCTTTAATCTATGAAATAATAGCGGATAACCGGGTGCTGCCCAGGTTGTGCCCGTAACTCTGAGCAGTAGGCCAATGCCACCTGGTCTATGTTACTACCCGGTCCGAGCTATCTCTATACACTAAACTTTAGCCTCGGAACAGCCCTAGTAGCCGACAACCCTGAACAGACAGACAAACAAATGACAGTCACATTATTATAGATACTTGTGAATAACCTGTTTCCATATGTTTACAAATATATTTCTGTTAAATCCATATGTTTACAATTATATTTCTGTTAAATCAGTATTCAAATGTTTGAATAATAATCTACAAAGCATGGTGATTTTTGGGTATCATGATCGATCCAAATCCACCACAAGTCTCATTATCCAGCATTAGTCACATAATGTGGACTGCAAGGGAAGACAACTCTGTTTGAGAGATTGTATATATATGACAATAATTTAAATCGATATTTGATAATATACAGTTCTTTATGTCAATTTGTCATTTTTAATTTAAAACCGTAACATTTATGTGTTAAAATGCTGCTCAAAATATTTGATATTATAGTATTTCTATAAAGCCAAACTCCTCAACCAGCAGCTGTCAGCCAGGATACGCCCACATTTTGAAGAGATGGATAGAGAACAAGCTGAAAACAAATATGATTTTTTGTACAATCAGGGGCAATAATCCAGAAAGTTATGTTTATGGGCGGACAGGGGTGACGTATAAAAATTGTGTTCGTAGCGCTTGACAAAATATATCTACATAAAATCTTTAGCTCTCAGTTAAAGATACATTATGTAAGATTTAGATAAAGAACTAGCCATTCTTGCTATAATAGTTTGAAAGTAGATGATGTAAAATGAATAATTTGAAAATTTCATTCAAATTACTCTATTGCAAGCAAAGATATTAGCCTTTGAAGGTTTGTCAAACGTGTGCAATAATTTCAACCACTGTACTGGTTGATCGAAGTTAAGTCTCGGTCCTCCATATTTGATTAAATCAAAGTATCGCTGAACCATTCTAATCTATTTAATATCGGAGAAATCTGATGCCATCGAGAGTTGATTAAGGCCTGGAAAAGTTAATTAATGTCTAATTAATACTTTAGAAAACATTTCAGGCCTAAAGAAAGACCTGCAATAGGCAGATTTAGCTCTTGCATAATGCATGTTTAATAGTTATAACTTGTTTAAAACAGATGAGTTTTTAAAAGTTCCTTGAATAACGATAATAAGATTAATAGGTAATGAGTTCCACCTTCTAACAGTAGCTACTTGAAACGAACGATAACCAAAAGTTGTCGTCCTGCAACTTGGTATAATCAGTTGATTGAGAGATTTCGATCACAGATTTTTCAATGTAACAAGTTTTCAAAGATATTTAGGAGCGGTGCATGATTTAATCCAGCAGTTTCTAAGCTAAGCACCATAAAATCATAATTAAGAGACGTAAATGTCAAGACAATATGTAGTAAGTTAATTTCGTAAGACTCAGTTTTAAGTTTTCATTGCGTATTTTCTGTTCAAATGCAGAATAAATTTTAATTTCAGATTTCACTCTACACTTTTACGAAATTTTTTCTGAACCTAAAATTAAGCCAAATTTTTTCTGAACCTAAAATTCAGCCAAATTGTCCTTATAAAATACAAAAGATAAAAAGAAAATGACGAAAACTAATTTATAAGGACAATAAGCTGTTATATTAATAAAGCAGAAAGGTAAATATTATTCCAACAGGTAAATGAACAATAGAAGCAGTGTAGATGTTCTTGAGCAATGAAAATGTTAGAATTTGAAATTTAATGATAACCTGTTTTAGAATCATTTTATCTGACCATTCAACAACAACAAAAAAACATCATACATAAATTCTGGCAAAATAAAATCCATTCCACGATTATGAGCAAGTTTTATGTATCACTTAATCTATAAATACTACAAATTAATACCCATTAAAAAGAACACATTTTATTTCTACTACAAACTCTCTGATAAATCTTAATAACATTATTTGGTTATATTATCTAAACTAAAGCACACTATCCTAAAATGGAGACTGTCAATAAATTCTCTGATAAATCTTATGAACATTATTTGGATAAATTATTTAATCTAAAGTGTATTATATATTACTATCACACTTTCGTTGTTAGTCCACATCAGGGCTCAGACCACACTAGTTGAAAATCCAATAAGAATCTTTAAATATATGAACCAATTGTTTTATTGCTGCAACCGAAATAGTATTGACAGTCCCCAATTTCAGACAAATTTAACATACTAGCACTTTATATTTTTGTTCCTGAAGAACAATCTATAACATAACTACATTACTGTGGTCTGTATCCAATATCCATTAATGAGTAGCCTCCCTTGTACCACCATGCGTAATACATTCATCCCAATCTTCCCAAAATAAATCTTTCATCCGAATACAGTACTCCTGTAAATTGGGATATTTTTCTAAAAAGAAATAAATAACAGATATGAATTATTTTATTTTTGTATCAAGGCAATATGAGTGCAAAGAGAAAATTAGGAATGATACCTGTGAAGGTTGGATTTACCTGTCAGTGGGCTCCCAAATTACAAACTAATCAGTGGGCTCCCAAATTACAAACTAATCAGTGGACTCCCAAATTACCAACTTATCAGTGGGCTCTCAAGTTACAAACTAATCCATGGACTCCCAAGTTACAAACTAATCAGTGGCCTCTCAAGTTACAAACTAATCCATGGACTCCCAAGTTACAAACTAATCAGTGGCCTCTCAAGTTACAAACTAATCCATGGACTCCCAAGTTACAAACTAATCAGTGGCCTCTCAAGTTACAAACTAATCAGTGGATTCTCAAGTTACAAACTAATCCATGGACTCCCAAGTTACAAACTAATCAGTGGCCTCTCAAGTTACAAACTAATCAGTGGCCTCTCAAGTTACAAACTAATCCATGGACTCCCAAGTTACAAACTAATCAGTGGATTCTCAAGTTACAAACTAATTACAAACTAATCAGTGGGCTCCCACATTACAAACTAATCAGTGGGCTCCCAAATTACAAACGAATCAATGGGCTCCTGTACTACAAACTAATCAGTGGACTCCCAAATAAAAAATTAATCAGTGGACTCCCAAGTTACAAACACATCAGTAGGCTCCCAAGTTACAAACTCATCAGTGGGCTCCCGAACAACAAACTCATCAGTGGGCTCCCGAACAACAAATGAATCAGTGGGCTCCCGTATTACAAACTAATCAGTGGACTCCCAAATTACAAATTAATCAGTGGACTCCCAAATTACAAATTAATCAGTGGGCTCCCAAATTACAAATTAATCAGTGGGCTCCCAAATTACAAACTAATCAGTGGACTCCCAAATTACCAACTAATCAGTGGGCTCTCAAGTTACAAACTAATCAGTGGACTCTCAAGTTACAAACTCGTCAGTAGGCTCCCAAGTTACAAACTCATCAGTGGGCTCTCAAGTTACAAACTCATCAGTAGGCTCCCAAGTTACAAACTCATCAGTGGGCTCTCAAGTTACAAACTCGTCAGTAGGCTCCCAAGTTACAAACTCATCAGTGGGCTCTCAAGTTACAAACTCGTCAGTAGGCTCCCAAGTTACAAACTCATCAGTGGGCTCTCAAGTTACAAACTCGTCAGTAGGCTCCCAAGTTACAAACTCATCAGTGGGCTCTCAAGTTACAAACTAATCAGTGGCTCTCAAGTTACAAACTCGTCAGTAGGCTCCCAAGTTACAAACTCATCAGTGGGCTCCCAAATTACAAACTCATCAGTGGGTTTCCAAATTACAAACTCATCGGTGGTCTCCCAAATATATATACATGTAAATGTTGACATGTTTAATGGTCTAGAGTGAGATATTAGTCTGAGGGCTATATCTATATAATTATTTGCCCAACACCATTAACACTTAAAATACAGACACTAGGCTATCCCACATCAGGGACTAAGTGAGAGGGAATCAATGATGAGTGTTGTGTCATGGTTTTCAGTTCTTTTATTTCAGTAATTTGCTTGTGTGTAGGGGTCTTTAGCAGTGGGAGGAAACTCGAGGACCTAAAGAAAACCCACAAGGTTGGGCAGGCGACCCTACTCCTTGTCACGTACAGGCAACCCTACTTCTTGTCATGTACAATCGGAGAATAGAAACCACACCGGTTGACTCAGTGACAGACTTTATGATACAGCGCGCACATGCCAACCATTCGGCCATCCAACCCCCATTTAATATTTCAAGATATATAAACTATATTTACCTTTTATCCACGTTTCACACGGCTGTTGAGGACTGTGCCACAAAATTTGTGCTAACATACCAAATGCTGTACAATCTATTTCTGTAGGCTCACTACCCATCATAAAATCTTTACTACCTAGAAATAGATTTTAGTCTCTTGCAATCTCATTAAAATACAGATCTATATTTCATTTCATTTTTTTATACTTTCGACAATCTGATTAAAACACAGATCCTATTTCATTTCGTTTTTTTAAAGTTCAAAATTTTGTTTTACTTTTCTTTACTACACTAGGATATGAGTTGTTATATAACCTGCATTCTGGATAGTGTGAGGGATTAGCCAATGAAACCATCTGTTATGGCGATTTCTTGGTGTGTGATGCACAGGACTGTGGGTAAACCACTAGAAACGTCAATGCTGATTGATTAATCAATGTCTAACGTCATATGGTCAAAAGTCATTCGTACAACCTCTGATGCAACCTTTTACTATAACTGGTCAGATCTTCATGAAGTGTAGGCCATCAAAGTTATAAAAAAACGAAACGAAATATAGATCTGTATTTTAATCAGACTGTACTTTTGATGGCCTCCACTACATGAAGATCTAATCGGTTATAGTAAAAGGTCCCGTCAGAGGTTGTACAACCGGGTGGAGGGGGGGTCGTATCAGAGAGAGAGAGAGAGAGAGAGAGAGAGAGAGAAATGGGATTTAACGTCCACTCGACACAAACTAGGTCATTTCGGGACTAACATATGGTTTAATTTTATTTCAATAATTCGCTTGCGCATAGGGGTCTTTAGCAGTCGGAGGAAACCGGAGGACCCGGAGAAAACCCACGAGGTTGGACAGGCGACCCTACTCCTTGTCACGTACAACCGGGGATTTGAAACCACGCCAGTCGACTCAATGACAGACTTTATGATACAGCGCGCGCACGCTAACCATTCAGCCATCCAACCACCCGTCGTATCAGAGGGGTTATACATGTACAATCGGCTATTGACCCTAGTCTGAATAATTAGTTTATAGTTGTTATAGACAATAGTCAGTCGCGATGGATCAGTCAGTAAGCCCTGGCTTGCTAACCAGGATGTCTTGGGTTTGATCCTGGTGTTGTCCAATAAGTTCCTTGTGATTTTCCGGCTTGGTTTCCCTAGGATGAGGTGCCTGGCAGGTCCTTTGGAGAGGCTAAAAATGAGGTCACATGTACACATTGGTGTGCACATAAAATAACCATTGACAGTTGGAATTGGATATAAGGGTAGTCATAGCGCCCCTGTCTGGTCAAAATTTTCCTCGCAGCACAATGTGTGCCGTATGGCCATCTTCATAAGTCCATTAAAAAAACACAACACAATTTATATGTAAAACAATCACTAGTTTATACACATTTAGCATGATGTTTCGACAAGTATTCTCTTATCGTTTTCAAGTACAAATGTGCTCAATCGCTAAATGCCCAGTCGGTTTTGGGTGTTTGGAGCTATTCATTTTTTCATGGATTGTCTCCCTTGAAAGCTTGTATTCATGTTGACTTAAAGGAGCTAAATCACTAACATTTGGGACCTGGAAATTGACAAAAGTAGGTCGCAACACATATAATACTGTAGTATGAATGTATATAAACTGATTTACATTCAATGGTTTCCGTATTTACTCCAATTTCAAATCAGTTATGTTCGGCGAAATAAGCCAGGAGTCTCAAGTGAGTGCAAATTTCTAGCGTCTGGTTATTCCAGTCTACATACGCAGTTTGATTTGGTGCAATGTGTCTAGCCTCGTCCCTCGAGTCTCTTGATACAACTGGGGCTGAAGCGCATTATGGTACACGATTCGTGTACCAATGGTAAAATGTTTATTTTGTCTTAAATATTGGATATCAAAAGCCCATCTTTTTCCGGTAAGATCACAACATGAATGTTAATTTAATTTGAGAAATAAATCGTGTTTTCAATGTTGAAGATTTTGGATGATATTGAGTTAGAGACACAATAGCTACTTTAAGCTACTACATGACTTGATTTGATACAAAATGGTTTGAAAATCAATCTGATTAAAACACAGATCCTATTTAGTTTTACTTGTCTTTACTACACTAGGATCTGGAAGAGTTGTTATCATTGACGTGTTCTGGATGGTGTTAGGTATTAGCCAATGAAACCGTCTGTTACGGCAAGCTTTAGGCATTTTTTGCATGAGTAATCCATTAGAAACATCAATGATGATTGGTTAATTAAATGTCGGATGTCATAGGGTAAAAAGTCGCTCGTATGACCTCTGATACGACCTACCGCTACAACCTGTCAGATCTTTATTATATAGTATAGGCCATCGAAAGAATAAAGAAAAATGAAACGAAATATAGATCTGTATTTTAATCAGAATGTTTGAAAAATATAAATAAATAGTGATCAATACTCACTTAGATAATCAGATAAGGCTTTCATGTCATCGTCAAAAATGTGTTCGACTTCTGATTGGGTGTGTCTACCAATACCAGCTGCCCAGGCATTCTTGGCAAGAGTTCGTCGAATAAGTTTAGGTATAAGCCATCCGAAACCTATCCAGCGGTTATCTGTATAACCATAAACCCATCTAGACAGCGCTAAACACCTGGATAAGTACAAATACGTGAAATGAAATGGGGGTTTAATGTCCTGCTCCAACTAGGCTAATGAAGACAGGCATACGCCATGTAGTGTGCTATGAGAGATAGTGGTGTGATAGCCTATTCTAATATCGAATTGCAGCTATCAAGGGATCTTTTACGTGCACACCAATCTATGACGTTAAAATCTGTCATAGGCATTATAGGGGACCATCTCAGTTCGGTGTGAGCGAGTGTGGAGAAGGGGGGGGGGGTCTCATTCTCCAATGTTTGTGCCTGAAAAACGGAAATACATTGCCTGAAAAAAAATGGATGGTCCACTGAATCTGGTGGGTGAGCCGAGGGCATATTAATTTTTTTCATAGAATGTCTCCCTTGTAAGCTTGAATTGATTTTGAGTTAAAGGAGCTAAATCGCTAATATTTGGAACCTAGAAATTGACACAAATGGGTTAACATATGGTTCAATTTTATTTCAATAATTCAATTATGCGTAGGGGTCTTTAGCAGTGGGAGGAAACTGGAGGACTAGGAGAAAACCCACGAGGTTGGACAGGCAAGCCTACTCCTTGTCACGTACAAGCTGGGAATCGAAATCACGCCAGTTGACTCAATGACAGATCTTCTGATACAACGTGCACATGTTTACCATTTGGCCACCCAACCCCCTCAATGAGTTTTATAATAATGATTGATGTTGACATTATTGTGCGTGAGATAAACCACCCAGTAACACTTCTCATAGTAAGCAAATTTTATACTTAAAAGGGCCGACCTTACCATAAAAGGTTTTCTTCTATTAATTTTTGAAAGGCTCTGGATATAGCTCGTTCTTTGTCCGTTAAATCTTTGTCAACATCGATGTCTAACTTCTTGTTAAAATATTGGATGATGAAAGAAGAATCGTTAACAACTTCTCCATTATATTCAATCCATGGTATCTTGCCTTTAGATGACATCTCAAGATCTTTATCACTCTGAAATTAAATCAATCAAGAATCTGATTAAAATGAAATGAAATGGGGATTAAAGATACGTTCCTGTGCACAAACTGGGTGATTTGATGATGTATTTTGTCTAAAAACATATTCAAACTAATTAATCTATCAAAATTTTGCTTCAAATCCTTCTCAAAACACTGTTTACGCGAGCAAATACCCTGCTATATAAAAATCTATTAAAAGAGGTCAGGTTTGTGTCATGTGAATTCGCTGACGAACTACCTGGCAACGGGTGCGAAGTCAGAGGGGAATTCATTGCATACACAAGACGATGTTGCTATCCATTTATCATATATATCAAAACCTAATTAAATTCTCGGATTATCAACTGCCAACGTCTTTTTCTGTGAATTTTATCTCAGAAAGTGTTGTACGCCTAACTCTTCATAAAGTTTATCAACCTGTACATCAAGCGCTCAATCTCCGCATGAAAACCTTAAACGTCAAGCGAGCAGACAATCCTAATCGTCGAGCTGTCGAATAGGGAAACCCTTACATTTTTGTCCTGTATGCACTCCATGAGTGTTTTTCAGGGAATCCAGTATTTTTCTAGTAAAATTGGATATCTCTACGAGCGTACTTTCCATATACAGTAGAATCTGCATTAAGCAGCCACCCAAGGGAATTTTCACAACTGACCGCTTAACGGGAGTGGCCTTTTAATAAAATCTCGTTGCTTTTTGTGCCGACATAAATTAAATATTACGCTTGGATGCATTGGAAGCGATGTTTTGTTGAATTTATTAGTAAAATAGTGACCGCTGGCCGCGTTAGAGGAATGACCGTTGAATAAAGAGATGAAACAACAGAATTTCTACGGGGGGAATTTATCGTGACCGCTTAAAAGGAGATGTCGCTGAATAGGAGTGGCTGCTCATACAGATTCTACTGTATACCAAAACTGCCATACTTTTATTGGAAATAACCACCCGATAAATACTTTTCTGGGAACGTAGCTTTAATGTCCTATTCTTCTGCTCCAGCTGGGAAACTGAAGACAGTGTGCTATGAGGAAAATTTGCCTACTCTTATTGAATTCCAACTGTCAAGCGATCTTTTATGTACATGCCATTGTGTACACTGAACCTCGATTTTTCGGTTCATTCAAACTAATAAACGTATACGCTGTCATTGAGTCAAGTGGCGTGGGTTTGACTCCTCTCTTATACATAACAAGGGGTACTTCTTGGGTTTTCTCCTTGTCCTCCAGTTTCCTCCCACTGTTAAAGACCCATACACGCAAGCAATTTATTGAAATGGAGGTGAACCATGTGTTAGTCCCGAAATGACCTACCGGTAGTTTGTGTCGAGTGAACAATAAAACCCATTTCTCTCGGAAATTACCTGATATGGTATTCTAGTCATCCTCAAGTAAGTTTCAACTTTAAGACAGAAGGGAGATAGACTTGGACAGTAGGGTCCTCTCCCACAACCATGAACAATCACAACATCCTTAGGGATAACTTTTTTTCTTCTGAAAGGCAAAATAAAATTCTTTCCTGAAACTAATTTACTGTTTTTACTTGTTCCAATACTCTGTAGTCATTGGCGGTACAGGTATTCATATTTTTGCATTATTATTCAAATATTCTTGAGTCATTACCAGTACCGGTAGGCTATTCAAATATTCTTTAGTCATTATTGGTAGGCCTACCGGTATTCAAATATTTTTGAATTATTATTCACATATCTCGAGTCATATTCGAGTATTCTTGAGTCATTACCAGTATTCAAGTATTCTTGAGCCATTAACGGTATTCAAATATTCTCAAGTGAATACCAATATTCAAATATTCTCAAGTCATTACTGGCATTCAAATATTCGGTATTCAAATATTCTCAAGTGAATACTTATAGGCAACGCTATTCATATGCTCCCATTTCACCGTTGATGTTATTAGGTCCCCAGTGATACTTTCTGTTAGGGGCCGGCCACAAGCTTAAAATCTGTCCCTGATTGTTACCCTACTACTGTCTGCAGTCTTGGCCTACATGCACGGGGCAATTACTATATCGAATCCAACCTACGGCCTATTAAATCCAAGGAGGGTTGGATGGCTGAATGGTTAGCGTGTGCCCGCTACTCCATAAGTTCTGTCATTGAGTCAACTGGCGTGGTTTCAATTCCCCGGTTGTAAGTGTGACAAGGAGTAGGGATGCCTGTCCAACTTCGTGGGTTTGCTTCGATCGGGTCCTCCAGTTTCTTCCCACTCCTGAAGACCACTACGCGCAAGCGAATTAGTGAAATAAAATTGAACCATGTGTTAGTCCTGAAATGACCTTGTTTGTGTCGAGTGGACATTAAACCCCATTTGTCTCTCTCTATCAAATTCAAAAGGAAGGACTTTGCCCCCCCCCCCACACCATCTAAATATTTATAAATAAAGTGGACACCATCTAAATATTTATAAATCCGATGAATTTTTTTATATTCATTTCAAAATGATTCTTTCATTGTCAACGAAACCCATAATAATTCCTGTGTTTGAGTGAGTGTCGTCTGCATAATATTGAGTTATTCCCCCTTAACATAAATTTAAGGCCAGGGTATAAAAGTGCTCTACTTACCTTTTTCCAATTATTTTCTTACACAGGCCATACGTTAGGGCTGAAGCAGCTAGGACTCCCCCAGCAATTGCTAAATAGTTATTTGGATCATGAGAATGAATCAATTCTTTGACTTCTTCCAAAGAATACTTCATTTTAGCAAACGTATTTGTTCGACTGTGTGTTACAAGCAGGTTATTTCCTATTTGACCTTGACCTTGATTGAACCTGTAAAGTTGTCACCTGAGCCGTGGGCGGAAGACTTGACAATTGCGCTATATATTACATGTATACGTAAACCTGAACAAAATTGAATCATGCATGAACAGGATCTTTGATTGTGTTATTTCATTGGGGAAAGTGAGATAAAAGCGCTAAATCTATTTGTTAAGGCCAGCTCGATTTTCGTCAGTTATTCCGCTGACGTGATCATAGGCTTGTTGCTGGCGAGATTGTCACATTGTCACTGTGTTAGGGTTAAGGCAGTGATTCTCAACACAGGTGTGCCGCGAGATCTTCCTAAGTGTGCCACGGAATTTTGAACGGCACACAAAAAAGATTTAAATGCGAAAAACCACATGATCCCAATTGAGTATTTCACTGGTGTCTACTGATAAGTCCATAGCTGCGTTTTTCTTTATTTAGTTAAGAGTCATTCTATATTATGTGTCGATGACTAGTCCCTGTCTACGGCCGTGTATGCCGTCTGACTTGCCATGTTTTTATTTTGCAAAATTCATATATTTTTCATATATAGGCCTATTTAGCCATGTGGTGTGCCGCTATTTTGTCATGTGTTCCAAGGTGTGCCTTTGGCAAAAAAAGGTTGAGAACCACTGGGTTAAGGTAAACATTAGGGCTAGGACGACCGAACACAAATTGGCGACCTATTCGGCTACGGGCTAGCGACCTATTCGACCGATCCAGCTGGCAACACTGGACTGGATAGCTATGACGCAATCAACAAATGACGTAGCTTAAAGCCACCGTCCGCCATCTTGCTACACCCAGAAGCACTTGTGGTCTTTTATTTCCACTATCAGTATGCGCTTTGTTTACAAGCAAATTCGACGAAAACATTAACAACATAACATTATATTTTGTCTAAAACATTGTTGGCGTTTTTATATAAAATAAATTCACAAGGGTACAACATTAATTTTATTCTTAAAAGTGCACATTCTCATTATAATATATCGGCTGACGCCATAAGATGTTTTGAAGCGAACTATACATTTTGCCGTAAATCAGATTTTAACGTGGAATTTATCAATTAAAAATAAAAAATACTAAATGATGGGGTAAGGCATGGGCTTTTGTACCATTACTATACTATTGATAATACATACTAAATCAGTCATTGTTTGGAAAAAATAAAATCATCTGACGAAAAAGAAAATGTACGGTGACAGAATTTAATAGGACACGCTAAAAAAAAAATATATCTCTCGAGCGCTCGAGATATTAAGTCGAGCGCTCGAGATACAAAGTCGAGCGCTCGAGATAATTAAGTTGAGCGCTCGAGATAATTGAGTCGAGCGCTCGAGATACTAAGTCGAGCGCTCGAAATAATACATTCGATAATACAATCGAACACGGGTCAACCGATGTTTTAAGCTGTTTAATTTTGTGCATTATTTAATGACAAACTTGCAGAATAAAGATATTCTATTCATCTGTTCGTTTTTACAGCCCATCCAAAGCTGCAGTGACGGAGCGCCCCCCCCCCCCCCACACACACACACAGACACACACTCACTCCATCCCATGCTCATCACCACCACTAAATATTTCCAGTTATATTTATCCCCTACCAAGTTGGGAGTATATCGCATGTTATTATACGAATCAATAATTATATATATCGAGGTTACAGAGTTTTGCTAGGAGAGACTGACTTTTCCTCTTATCTAGAAGCTCATGTCTGGTCCTCCCGCGCCCAAAATCAATAGTTGCCGCCCTTATGCCATAAGGAATATAATATGCTAAGTTCCAAGCTGATCCATTCAGAATTGCGGCCTGTATACGGTAAACACAAAAATTGTGCGTGGCTCTGCCCCTGTGTGTCGGGACATGCAGTTGTCGTCTTTGGGCTATAAGAAATACATATTCCAAGTTTCAAGACGACCCATTAAGAATCCTGACCTGTAGGCAACACTCAGATACACAAAGAAAAAATGGGTGAGGCGCTGATCCTGGGGTCCAGGCAATCACCAAAAAAATCAATAGGGGTCATCCTTAGGGTATAAGGAATAGGTATGCAAAGCTTCAAAAGGATCTGTTAAGAATTGCGCCCTGTAGGAGAAACACGCACAAAAATTTGGTGTGGCTCTGTCTCAGGGGGTCGGACATGCACTAAAAATAATAGAGGTCATCTTTAGGGTATAAGGAATAAGTATGAAGGGCGCGGGGATTGAATGTCCCACCCCCTGAGACAAGGCCACACCAAATTTTTGTATGGGCTGTAAAAACGAACAAATGAATATCTTTATTCTGCAAGTTTATCATTAAATAATGCACAAACTTGAAATATAGCTTTATCTCACTAAGATCTCGGTTCCTTTCGATATTGGCATGTATCGGACCATAACTTCATGGATTATGGCCCCTGATTGTACGAAAAATTGCGTTTTTAGCGATTTGAATAACGTATCAATGATACCTTTTTATTTACTACTAGATCAAAAGATGAGTCACAGTCAGTGAACACGTAGACTTTTTATCATAATTAAAGGGACATCATGTCGAGTTGTGGACGTGGGATTCAATAGCAGAAAAAAGGAGAGTTGGGTGTATTTAATGAATGTGGCTGTGTGGGGATTTATTGTCGGGTGTTATTTACGAAATCAGAAAAAAAGGAGGGTTGGGTGTATTTTATAAATGCTGTTGTGTGGGTATTGTCAAAAAAACATTTTTGCTTGGGGAGTGGGGGCCTGTAAGTAGAGGGATACAAATAGTACCTTTACTTACTTTTTTTAGCTGAAGGCGTGTTGGGTCGGGTGTTATTATGGTCTGTAAACTATTGATTTCAGGTTCCCAGCATTTATATCTGAAGTTTGAATGCTCATAAATTTCTGAGACAATTAATTAACGGATAACACACTTCCCACTTGTCCCCGTGGACACAACTGTGAAGATAGCTACCACTATATCCTGATATGCCCCACCACCCCCACCCTCGCTAGTTGCGGGCCTGGATATCGGTACATGTACTGCCCATTCAGAAGATCAAATTTCTGATCCAAATTATGACTGGTCAATAGTCTGATTAATAACCAATACCTAACTGCGTAACAATATCATTTGGCTTTAAACAGGGCTCCAAATATGTTTACATAATGTTACATCATGATTCACGAAATTTATTACGCCCAATTAACCAGTGAATAGAAGAATATTGCAGAAAAACTAATTGCGTGACAAACGAGGCTATCAAAACTGCTACAATGTAAACAATACTGTTTGGAGACGAACAATACTTTTACCGTTTTTAATACTTTAAACCACTGTCTAAAGGTTTAGGTAAGACCCAGATTAGATGAAGGGCTGTCATGTTCCTTCAGGAATATGCTATTGTAGTTTCTTTCGGATAACTGGGAAAATATGGGAAAATAAACAGTTGATTTCAGCCGTCATCTTGGATGCTGGAATACAAACCTAACTTCGGCCTGGCGAATAATAATAATATGTACATTTATACAGCGCACGTACTCCATACACAGAGGCATGTTCACTGCGGATACAATTAAATTAATTTATTTTATCCTGATAACAAGATGGGGTTTAAGTATTCCTTTAAAACAAGGCAGAATTTGACATGATTTAACGGTCTCCGCCTTGGGCTACAGATGATGGAGGTGTGAGGTCGGAGATTACGCGAGGGAACTTGTATTTGCATAAGGTTAGATAAATATATTTGAGCTAAGCCATTCACACACTGATACGTCAAAGAAGATGATTCTTTCATTTATTGGCAGCCTTTTGAGTGATTTCAGAAAAGGTGTAATATAAGAGTATTTTGATGATCTGGTATCATTTCGAGCTGCGGTATTTTGTACAAGTTGATTTTATTTTAATATTGGCACTAGAACATACAAATGTAGCAGGTACTTCCTGGCTAATCAAGTGTCTTATATATGGACTGAAGATAACATTTTCGACAAATTTCACTAATGTGACTGTCCATGCTTAAATCGACCCTATTATAAGAGGACACCTAAGTCCTTCACAATGTCTCATGGTACAAGTATTACATTTCGTACAACCACATCATTTGAACTTGTATCTTTCAGATGTGTATTTGGGCCAAGAAAAATACATTCTGATTTACTTAATTCAATTACATTTAATTTCAACATATTTCTTGTCATCCTATCTTTAAAGCTGAACTCCGGTTACAAAAATACCAAAATAATTAAATAAAAGAAAGTTAACTCCCGAAAGCCATACTTGTTTCCAATTTGTGAATAAAAATGCGGACATGGAGGCTTATGACCTGGAAAGGTTAGCCGATCTCACTTTTGCGTTCTACGCAAAATTTTACTCTTGAAAAGTTGGGTCTGGTTTTGTGCCCATTTGATGGACACCCCCCGCGCTGAGCCTCCAGACTATTTTGGGTACCTACATGCGATTCACTCTGATAAGTGGCAGAAAAAAATTAACAAAATATTACTGACAGGCTAACTAGACACAATTTTATGGAACACAGTTACTTTAATGGGTTAATAGGTTATCTTTTTTAGTTTTAACATACATTATGCTAGAGCTAAATCTGCTTATTGCAAGTCTTTCTTTAGGCTTCAGATGTTATAGAAATTATTAATTAGACCTTTATTTACACGCTAAGCTCAAAATCAACTTTGTAGACCATCGGATGGCTTGGATACAGCTTGGATTTGAACAGTCATCCATTTAAATTTAAATCAATAAATGGCTGATCATGACCAAGCTAACGTTTAGCATTAGTCACTGACGTCACTACCGGAGACTGTCACTATTTTACAACTGTTAGTAATCTCTAAATGAAATGAAATGGGGTTTGACGTCCTACTATTCTGCTCCTAACCGGGGCTAATGAAGACGGGCATACGCCATGCAGTGTGCTATGAGGGAAATTTTGCCCGGGCAGCGGCGCTACGGCCTACTCTTATATCGAATTCCAACTGCCAAGGGATCTTTTACGTGCACGCCAATGTGTACACGGGACCTCGGTTTTTCGTCCCATCCGAACGACTACACAGCTGTCCTTGTCAGGCCCTCCGTCCTGCATCACTGACAAGGGGAAACCACGCCGGAAAATCTGGATGAACCTCCTCGGCCAATGCAGGGATCGAACACCCGACCTCCAGGTTAGCGAGCCAGCGTCTTACCCTCTTAGCCACGTGATCCCCCTAGTAATCTCTAATAATATCAAAAATAGATGAAAATTTAATAACTGTTTTTTTTACCACATTGTTTTTATTTAAGGAAGTTAATATCAATACATATTCTATTGTAGTTGCAGTTTTGGTCAGTCATTTTCTGATTTGGACTTCAATAATGACAAGAAATTGGTATACCTGAATTTGAAGCTTTTTTCAAAGCGTATGATTTGGATGGTATGTACTATTTCTAGTTGAAATAATTGGGGGTTCTTTCTAAGGTAAACACAGTGACTTTAATGACGCAGAAATTTGAGTTTATCATCCCATCCAGGTCCCCACGTGACCGATTACCTCAGAAGCATGTTTGGTTAATGTTCAACATTCCAACCCGATAAAACGGTGTTAATATATGATGTCCTTTTGGGACTAACAAAGAGAGGGTGGTTTAACGTCCTGTCGACACAAACTAGGTCATTTCGGGAATAATATATGATACACGGTGGGGGGGGGGGATTGCCGAATGGTTACTGTCCAACCTCGTGGGATTTCTCCGGGCTTCTTCCCACTGCTAAAGACCCATACGCGCAAGCGAATTATGGAAATAAAATAGAACCATATGTTAGTCCCGAAATGACTTAGTTTGTGTCGAGTGGACGTTAAACTCCATTTCTCTCTTTGTCTCTCTTTTTTAAGGTAACAGTGAAGTTACTCTGGCGGAGACTATACAGAAATCCGGATTGAAAAATGTTGAAGCCGAAGCTATATTTAATGTATACGATACATATGGAGACGGAAAATATGATATCAGTGAATTAAAAGGTCGTTTCTCTGCATATGATTTTGATGGTAAGTTCGTTACTTCAATAATAACAGCGGTCCACGGATATCTGACCATACCTACTTCTAATCAGCAGAGCGGGGGTTGGATGGCTGAATGGTTAGCGTGCGCGCGCTGTATCATAAAGTCTGTCATTGAGTCGACTGGCGTGGTTCCGAATCCCCGGTTGTACGTGACAAGGAGAAGTGTCGCCTGTCCAACCTCGTGGGTTTTCTCCGGGTCCTCCGGTTTCCTCCCACTGCTAAAGACCCCTACGCGCAAGCGAATTATTGAAATAAAATTAAACCATATGTTAGTCCCGAACTGACCTAATTTGTGTCGTGTGAACGTTAAACCCCATTTCTCTCTCTCTCTCTCTCTAATCGGCAGTCTAATAATAATACACATTACCTGGTGCATCGTAACAATTTGAAATGGAATGGAATGGGGTTTAAAAACTGAACTCCGATTACAAAACAACAGAAATGATTAAATGAAAAATGTTGACGCCCTAAACAGTCGCCGTAACAGCCGCCATACTTGTTTTCAATATTGTAATGTAGTAGAGCAGTCGATGTCTTTGCGTCCAATAATCAAGTAGGAATAGGAGCAGGAATGGTCATTTTACTTGATTTGTAGACTATTCGATTGGAATCAGGAAATAATCTAGTAATGCCAGATATTATTTTAAAAATTGTATAAAAATTTAGTTTTATACCGGAAGTCTAGCTTTAAATTATTGATATCTAGAAACTTCATGTTGATGTGATCTCTATTTATTTACAGGCATTGGGTCATTATCTCCTACCGAATACAATTGAGTTAACAAAATAATGAATGTAAGAAATAGATAATAGTTTTTTTATTACCATTGTTTTATCAACAGTTATTTAAATGTCCTAGCATTTTTATATCTTAGCATTCGTCTACTTTCCATCATACTCTTGTAGCTTACAGGACAATTGTTCCCCTAACCCTAACCCTGCGCATTATTACAATTCCAGTAATACCACTCGTGCATGTAAATGTTTTCTTGATGGTCAAATACCCCCCCCCCCCCTTACTGTTATTGTTTTTAGGGTTAAACAAACATATTAAAGAAATAAAAAATAACTATTTGATGTATCTTAACGATTATACTAGACAATATTGTGACCAGTGTTTAAATTGGAAAGCATCACTGTGATAGAGTTTGGACCATGCTGATAGTTTTTAGCTTTCTTCATAGGCTGTTAGAATATTATATGAGGTAGACGAATACCTATGTATACCTGTTGAGCAAGATCAATTCTAATGCCATAATATTATAAGAATTACAGAGTTCATATTCTACAATACATATTTTATTTTATCTTAACAGGAAAATGATCTGATTCACATCAATCAATAAATTTTTCAAAACCATTCGTTGTATATAATTTTGTGTATAGTTTTCCAATTGACACACATGATACAGCGGTCATTAGGACATGGTGACCCGCCCTCTCCATCCCCGCGCCTCACTCCCTACTCTTAACCCATCAGGCGGTACAGGAGCAAATATAACATGGGCGGGAATTTTGGATCTTCAGTGTCTTAAATTGGGTGGAAATGTGATGATGTTGATTATCTTTTTATAGCCCTTTACATCCGTAAATAACTATATAGCCATTATAGGAGCCTCTTGGATAACTGTTTTGTTTTGTGTGGGGACTCGGAGAGGGGGGCATCTTCAATAGAAGGCTTGATCTCGCTTTAACTACGTACATCTTATCAAGGCCTTCACGTAATACCCTGCATATTTTGGCACTAATTTCGATTGGGTACAAGCGCAGCTTGTGAGCCTATCAGATTCCTCGATCGTCGCGAATACCAAGTCTCGCGCTTTGAAGCTAAAATGTCTACCTGTGATAATCGAGTTGCAAAGTTCAAGGTTCATTGAATGTTAAGGTTTCCGTGGATGTTGCGATGTCACAACGTCTGATTGGACGCTACTCCTCACGGGTCTTTATATTACATAGCTATAAGTTCGGGAAGTAAACAATTTCTCTGAAGTAAACAAGCAATGTCTAGATGTTGTAAAACTCGCAGTCGTTGCTTCAGGAACATGAGAGAAATGAAATGAAATGAAATGGGGTTTAACGTCCTACTGTTCTGCTCCTAAACTGGGCTAATGAAGACGGGCATACGCCTTACAGTCTGCTATGAGGGAAATTTTTCTCAGGCAGCAGCACTATCGCCTACTCGTATATCGAATTCCAACTGCCAAGGGATATTTTACGTGTATTCCAATGTATACACGGGACCTCGGTTTTTCGTATCATCCGAAAGACTAGACAGCTGTCCTTGCCAGGCCCTCCGTCCTGCATCACTGACAAGGGGGGAACCACGCCGGAAAATCTGGATGAACTTTCACGGCCAATGCAGGGATCGAACACCCGACCTCCAGGCTAGCGAGCCAGCGTCTTACCCACTTAGCCACGTGCCCCCCCAAAAGAAGACGGCAATACGCCGTTAAGTGTACTATGAGGGAAATCTTTCGGCGCTACGGCCTACTGTTATATTGAATTCCAACTGGGTTTAGTTTAGGCCTACACCAAGTTCTCATTGATCAACCAAGTTGATAAACCATGATTTGTTATTAAATTTTGCAATTGACCCAAGCAGATAAATAAGGTTTTAATTTAAAAAAAAGTTTTCTTTTACCCCAATATCTCATCGATATTACAGATCTATATTTCGTTTTGTTTTTTATACTTTCGATGGCCTCCACTACATGTAGTAAAGACAAGTAAAACGAAATTTTGAACTATAAAAACGAAACGAAATAGGATCTGTGTTTTAATCAGATTGATGAACCACAGTCTCTTCCAATATTGGAAAGATATGCTATATTATAAGCTCAGTCTACTAATTGTTGTAGTTGCTATTTATGCCACAGAATCCCTTTTATCTCACTTTCCCCCCAATGAAATGAAATGAAATGAAATGGGGTTTAACGTCCTACTGTTCTGCTCCTAAACTGGGCTAATGAAGACGGGCATACGCCATGCAGTGTGCTATGAGGGAAATTTTTGCCCGGGCAGCGGCGCTACGACCTACTCTTATATCGACTTCCAACTGCCGAGGATCTTTTACGTGCACTCCAATGTGTAGGTTACACAGCTGTCCTTGTCAGGCCCTCCGTCCTACATCACTGACAAAAGGGAAACCACGCCGGAAAATCGGGATTCACTTTCTCGGCCAATGCAGGGATCGAACACCCGACCTCCAGGCTAGCGAGCCAGCGTATTACCCACTTAGCCACGTGATCCCCCTCCCCCAATAAAATAACACAATCAAACATCCTGTTCATGAATGATGCATATCTGTTCAGGTTTATGTTATGTAGGCCTATTGCCGCGTTCCTCAATTGTGCGTGACAAGGTGTAGGGTCACCTGTCCAACCTCGTGGGTTTTCTCTGGGTCTTCTGGTTTCCTCCCACTGCTAAAGACCCCTACGCGCATGCGAAATGCACTGTGCTAATAAAGACGGGCAATTTTGCCCGGGCAGCGGCACTACAGCTTACTCTTATATCGAATTCAAACTGTCAAGGGATCTTTTACCTGCACGGACCTCGGTTTTTCGCCCCATCAGGACGACTAGACAACTGTCCTTATCAGGCCCTCCGTCCTGCATCACTGACAATTTTAAGGGAGAACCACCCCAGAAAATCTGGATGAACTTTCTCGGCCAATGCAGGGATCGAACACCCGACCTCCAGGCTAGCGTGATCACTTAGCCACCGTGATCCCTACGCACAAGCGAATTATTGAAATAATATTGAACTATGTTAGTCCACCCACTGGTGTCAAATTTACAGGTTTCATTAAGGTCATGGTCAAATACGAAATAAAGTCCAGCTTGTGATCTATTTGAGTATTTCGTAATAATTAAATCTAGCCCTTGTGACACACAGTCACCGAGTCAGTTGAACTATGGTTGAACAAACACGGTTGCTAACATGGAGTATTTTTCGGAAGAGTTCAAAGAATTTATTCATAACTATTTAGAAATTGCTTTCGCGTTCTTGGCTGGTTCAGCCCTAACGTACTTTGTCATGTGTAAGAAATTAACTGGAAAAAGGTAAGTAAAGCACATAAAACCTGGCTTTAAATTAATGTTAAGGGGAAATAACTCAATATTTTGCAGACGACACAAGGGCCAAAGTTATATTTAGTCTGTCTCTCTCTATCCCTTTTCCCCCCTTTTGCATGTTGATTTTTCGTGGCGTTTTGGTGTAGAATGGAAGAAAAGTTTTTGAAAATACATTTTCTGTCAGGTTTTGGTGAATATTCATGATTTTGAGGCGGAAGGATACAAAATTTGAGAGGTTGGTTAAGTTGAAATGTAGGGTCGAAAATTGCATGTAACATTAAAATAAAGACAATGGGGAAATCTTTAGTCTAGTGACCAAATACAAGAATTATTGTGGGTTTCGTTGAAAGAGGCTTGTTTAGATGAAACATGAATAGAAAACTTGATTGAATTTTATACATATTTAGATGGTGGTGTTTAACTGTAGATTGCACAATCGCAGGGGCAAAGTCCTTTTCTTTTGGTTTTTTTATACGCCCACATTTGCCGAGATCAATCTGGCATACAATAAGCTACCATACCATAAGGGCTAAATCTATTTCTTAAGGCCAGCTCAATTTTTGTTAAGGTCGCTGAGATGTAAATAAGGCTAAGGCACGTGATTGTTGGCGAGATTGTGGGTTGGTGTTAGGGTTGGGATTAGCGCTAGCCCTGTTTACATCTCGAGACCTATGACAGAAAATTGAGCTGGCCGTATCATTTAGAACTAACCATACAATAAGCACTCTGCATTCAATAAGAGATAATCAAATCAGTATACAATTAGGAATTCGCTAGATGACCATGATTTCAGTGAAATCACTGAAGGCTAATCCGAGTCTTCGATAAATAAAATAAATTGAAAGTAGGGCCTAGTCTATTTTAAGTAACTAAGTTATTGTCTGACGGCGACACATTTCTTTGCTCAAAATATAAAGTGTGTTATGTATTACTTCCCGGTGTGGCAGTTTCAGATGGTTCCTGGAGTGTGATTACCGTTTGGCGCATGCGCAGTTGTAGGAGTCAACTCACACCGTTACAGTCGCGGTGTGCATTGACTCCTCGTGATAGGATTTCCCCTAAGATTTTCTTACGGTCAAATCAATATATAGACTATTATAATTTACAGTATTACCACCACGAGAGGATGCAAATTGACGATCTTTATTATTATTATTTAGTATATATACCCGTCCAATATGCGAACATTCTCTCTTGTATTTGGGCTGTCTACATGCATGTTTGAATGTATGGGATGGTATAATAAATCTATATTTATGTTAAAGAAATCGGAATAAGAAATTCCATACTTTTATATTTGTGATAAATGAAGCCACGAAATATCGAAGGCCTTAATCTTCCTTTGGAGGTGAATTAATTGATAATTTCAAGCCAATCATCAATTTGTATGGTTTCCACTGATCGTACGTGTGTAGAGAACGACTAATCACTAAAAAAAACAAATAAGGCAACAAATCACGAACGATAGAAGTAGCCTATCAATTTCAAGCCAATCAACTTAGATCCGTTGATCGTGTAACTACTCATCACTAAAACAACAGCTAATCACGATAACAAGTATGTTTATTAATGACAAAACTCTAATCAAGTACATGCTATACTTTTTCCTGCACTGACCAGGAACCAACTCGCACCGCAGGAAGTAGATATAGTTTCGTTGTTAAGGCAAACATCAGTTTCGGACATGCGCAAGTGCCCAGGAGAAAACACACACCAGGAGTCAACTCAAACTATCACACCGGTGATGTCTGACACGATAACTGGAATTTCGAATTAAGATCAGTAGTTTGACATTAAACACTCGCCCACCACTCTTTAATTCATTGATACAGACAGCTCTGTAAACTCTATCAAAGGAGCGGCTTCTGACCCTATGACGTCAGACATTTTATTAACCAATCAGCACTAATGTTTCTAGTGGATTTCTCACAGTTCCGTGCACCTCACGCCAAAAGCTCGCCGTAACAGACTGTTTCATTGGCTAATCCCTCACACCATCTAGAACACGTCAATGATAACAGGTCTTTCTTTAAGTCTTAAATGTTATCTAAATTATTAATTAGACATTAATTAACATATCCAGACCATAATCAACTCTCGATGGAATCGCTAGCCTGCGATGGTTTTTGGATTAGGTTCCGATTTGCTGTTCGACTTCCATTCATCATTAAATCATAAAATGGATAAATGAGACACTGTTTTTTTTTTATCCTACCGACTTTAGTGATGATGAATCTAGTTTTTAACTTTAATAGTGAGAACTACCAGCTCTTTATCTAATCTCCCATAATGTATCTTTAAATAATTCGGGAGGGGGGGGGGCTGAATGGTTAGCGTGCGCGCGCTGTATCATAAAGTATGTCATTGAGTCGACTGGCGGGGTTTCGAATCCCCGGTTGTACGTGACAAGGAGTAGGGTCGCCTGTCCAACCTCGTGGGTTTTCTCCGGGGCCTCCGATTCCCTCCCACTGTTAAAGACCCCTATGCGCAAGCGAATTATTGAAATGAAATTAAACCATATGTTAGTCCCGAAATGACCTAGTTGTGTCGAGTGGACGTTAAACCCCATTTCTCTCTCTCTCTATCTTTAAATAATTCTTGTATAATGAGTGTAAAATATCTGAATAGTAAAATCAGTATTCAATGTGAACACAAAAAAATTAAATAAATTAAATGCAGGAAATTATATATTTTTATTTTGCTTTTCAGACGAAAAAATGATTTCCCTAAAGATGTTGTGATTGTTCATGGTTTCGGGAGAGGACCCTACTGTCCAAGTCTATGTGGTTTTTGTCTTAAAATTGAAACTTACCTGAGGATAAATAAAATACCATATAAGGTAATTTCCGAGAGAAATGGATTTTATTATTTACTCGACACAAACTAGGCCATTTCGGATCTAACACTTGGTTTTACTCCATTTCAATAATTCGCTTGTGCTTTAGGGTGTCAGTGATGCAGGACGGAGGGGCTGACAAGGACACCTGTCTAGTCGTTCGGATGGGACGAAAAACCGAGGTCCCGTGTACACATCGGCTTGCACGTAAACGATCCCTTGACAGTTGGAATTCGATATTAGAGTAGGCCGTAGTGCCGCTGTCCGGGTAAAATTTCCCTCATAGCACACTGTATGGCGTATGTCCGTCTTCATTAGCCCAGTTCGGAGCAAAACAGTAGGACGTTAAACCCCATTTCATTTCATTTTAATTCTTTAGTAGTGGGAGGAAACCAGAATACCCAGAGAAAACCCACGAGAAAGGAGTGGAAACCATGCCATTTAACTCAATGACAGTCGTTCGGATGGGACGGCAAATGAAGGTCCAGTGTACACATTGACGTGCACGTAAAAGAACCCTTGATAGTTGGAATTCGTTATAAGAGTAGATGGATCCAGGAATTTTTGCTGGAGGGGGGTTGCAGGTTCCTGTTAAGGAAATTTGACAGTTGACAGTACATGATTCCCATATTTCATTTCATTATATCAGGCGTCGAGTCCACAAAGCATTCTCAGATTTAAGTTAAGAATTTACTCAAAACTGTTCACCTTATTTTAACTAAATAAAATATAGCCCTTTCTAAAAGTTCTGTTGTTTTAATGTACCAAATATATCAATTAGAAACTATGTGCAAAGTTTTGTGTTTCTGGATCATAAACAGTGATTGAAAGTTGAGTAAATTCTTAACTTAAGCCTGAGAATGCTTGGTGAACTCAGTGCCTGATTTATTGCTTTAATTTTAGTGTGGTAAAGATCTTAAGGAAGGCTATTTACCTTGGACTGAATATAATGGCGAGGTTGTCCAATATTTTCAAAGGCCGTTATACACTAATGTAGACAGAATTTTAACAGATGAAGAAAAAGCTATATGCAGAGCCTTTCAAATAATGATAGAGGAAAATCTTACATGGTACGGTCGGTCCTCTATAGTATATAATTTGTTAGCTATGAGAAGTTTTACTGGGTGTTTTATCTCACGCACAACATGCATCATTACTATAATGGTCATCACACGTATCAGAAATACAAATAATATTAAAGATACATTATGGAAGATTAGATAAAGAGCTGGCAGTTCTCACTATAAACTAGATAATGTAAAGAGAATTTGCTGAAAATTTCAATCAAATTGATCCACTCTGAACCGAAATTTTAGAGTCGCCTAGCCTCGATCATCATTACTAAAGTCGGTAGGATAAAAAAAAAACATAGTCTCGATTATCCATTTCTTGATTAAATTATGAATGGAAGTCGAACAGGAAATCGGAACCTAATCCAGTAAATATCGCAGGCTAGCGATGCCATCGAGTGTTGATTATGGTCTGGATAAGTTAATTAATGTCTAATTAATAATTTAGATAACATTTCAGGCCTAAAGAAAGACCTGCAATTTATGTTTAATGATCTGTAATATAAATGAAAAGTTAAATCCAGAGCTTTTACAGTAAGGTCCTTTGAATTTACACAGAGAGGGAGAGATAAATGGGGTTTAACGTCCACTCGACACAAACTAGGTCATTTCGGGACTAACATATGGTTCAATTTTATTTCAATAATTCGCTTGTGTGTAGGGGTCTTTAGCAGTGGGAGGAAACCGGATAAACCCCACGTGGTTGGACAGGCGACCCTACTCCTTGTCACGGACAACAAGGGAATCGAAACCACGTCAGTTGACACAGTGACAGACCTTTTGATGCAACGCGCACGCCCTAACCATTCAGCCATCCACCCCCTCCATATGTTGCAATGTTAATTCTAGGTCTCCAGCATCAATATGACAAGTATGATGCAGCAGAAATTAGAAATTGCGTCGATCTAAGATAATATTGCTACAAATAACATTCACCAATAAATTTATCCACCTTAACTTACTTTTTCTGCTGCACAAATAATTTCGCGCCACCAAGGCTTTCCTATTTCCAAGGCTATTGGCTACCTAAGCTAAAACCAATATGGCACCAAGGCTTTTGGCTACCTAAGCCAAAATCAATATGCCACCAAGGCAATTGGCTACCTAAGCCAAAATCAATATGCCACCGAGGCAATTGGCTACCTAAGCCAAAATCAATAATACCACCATGGTATCTTCAAGTAAAAATAAAATCTATTACCGTTTAATGTAACAAGAACATGTCTGTCCACCTCGCTGTCATAATAAAGAATGAATTCAATGCATCATACTACGTCATCATCGGAAATGTCACGTGAGGATCTGTTTTTAGTCCAAGTATAGCATCAAATCACAAAGTTTGAACGCGGGAAAGTATCTTTAACGTCATACGTTGTGCACATTGGTTGGTGTGTCCGTAAATTTTGAACGCACACTACGAAAATGCGAAAAACCACATGATCCCAATTGAGTATTCACTGGTGTCTACTTATAAGTTCATAGCTGTGTTTTCCTTTATTTAGTTTGAGTCATTCTGTGTGTCTATGGCTAGTCTCTGTCTACGGTTGTATGTTGTCTGACTTACCATATTTTTATTTTACAAAATTCAAATATTTTTCATATATATTTAGCCAGGTGTGCCGCTATTCTTTCATGTGTTCCAAGGTGTGCCGTCGACAAAAAAAGGTTGTGGACCACTGTTGTAAAAGAACGCTTGACAGTTGAAATTCGATATAAGAATAGTGCCACTATCCAGACAAGATTACCCTCATAGCACACCGTATGGCAGATTCCTGTCTTCACTAGCCCTGTCAGTGCAAAACAGTAGGACGTTAAACCCCATTTCATTTGCTTTTAACATATTTGTACTTATGTAGGTGTGTAGCACTATCTAGATGGGTTTATGGCTATACAGACAATAGTTGGACAGGTGTCAATTGGCTTCAACGTAAATTGGCTGGACTATCTGCTTCCAGGAAAGCCCGGGTGGTTGGTATTGGTAGACAAACTCAGTCAGAAGTTGAACACATTTTGGAAGATAACATGAAAGCCTTGTCTGATTTTCTAAGTGAGTATTGAACACTATTTCAACGATTTCCGATAATTACTGCAAAAGATATGGCCCTTGATCACTTTGAAAAATTTTGTTGACGCTCTAGAGACTAAAGTTAATATCCGATTGACTTTAAATTTATACACAAGTTTAAGGTCATCAGATGGATAATCCTTTTAATTTCTGATAATTACTGCCAGAGTTATGGTCCTTGATCACTTTGAAATATCTTGTGAACGCGCTAAAGACCTAAAGTTAATATCCGATTGACTTTATACACAGTGTTTATCATCAGACAAAGATAGGTTGCCGGGCAACGAAACATACGCCCACAGCAGCTAAATCGTCCGGGCAGTCAACAAGAGTTGTCGCATATTTTCCTTTTTTCTGTAATGAAACATTTATAATACACTAAAATCTGATTAAGAGCAACAACTGAGAAAACCATTAGAATTTGTTTGGTTTTTATAAACTTCTACCCCATGCTAACGTTTTGTATACAAAACTTTTAATATCATGGATTTAGCTGTTCCAAGTCATAAAAATTCATTGAAAATCAATATACTTGTTCCTCTCAAGATCTTAAACACTGTGTATAAATTTAAGATCAATCGGATATTAACTTTTGCCTCTAGAGCGTCCACAAAATTTTTTGAAGTGATCAAGGGCCATAACTCTGGCAGTAATTATTGGAAATTGCTAAAAATCAATAGGCTTCTTCGTCTCATGACCTTAAACACTGTGTATTAATTTAAAGTCAATCGGATATTAACTTTGGCCTCTAGAGCGTCCACGAGATTTTTTGAAGTGATCAAGGGCCATAACTCTAGAAGTAATTATCGGAAATCGCTGACAATCAATAGGCTTCTTCGTCTCATGACCTTAAACACTGTGTATAAATTTAAGATCAATCGGATATTAACTTTGGCCTCTAGAGCGTCCACAAGATTTTTGGAAGTGATCAAGGGCATAACTCTGGCAGTAATTATCGGAAATCGCTGAAAATCAATAGGCTTCTTCGTCTCATGATCTTAAACACTGTGTATAAATTTAAAGTCAATCGGATATTAACTTTAGCCTCTAGATCGTCCACGAGCAATTGTGGACGCCGGACCGACGGACGGACGGACGGGCGGACGGGGGCGACGACAATATACGACCACATTTAAATGTGGGCGTATAAAAAAAGCTATTGATTGTCAACGATTTCCGAAAATTACTGCCAGAGTTATGGCCCTTGATCACTTTGAAAAATCTTGTGGATGCTTTAGAAACAATAGTTATCATCTGATTGATTTTATATGTATTCACCGTGTTTACGTCTATATATTGTCGTTTAAGTTCATGAGATGAACAAGTGTATTGATTTTCGAGGATTTTTTGATAACTTGCAACAGCTAAATCCATGATGTTAGCGCCGTCCAAGCAAATTCTAATGATTTTCTGATAATTACTTAATGAATTGTTACTCTTAATTATATTTTAGTGTATTATAAATGTTTCATTACCGACAAAATTAAAAATATGCGACAACTCTTGTTGACTGACTTGAAGATTTAGCTGCTGTGGACGTATGTCTCGTTGCCTGGCAACCTGTCTTTCGTACAATCAAGGTCCATAATCCAGAAAGTTACGGTCCGATATGCGTGTATATCTACAGGAACCTAGATCTTCGGGATATAAACATATTTTAAGTTTCATCAAAATCAAATAAAAATTGTGACCTCTACATAAAAGGGGTAGTTATTTTTGTTGGACAGTTTCGATCTGATTTTTACGAAATGCAAACTCAGTTATCATTATGATGTAATGGTGATATATTTAAACGGATTTTAAAATCGGATAAATCAGGGGACACAATCCAGGAAGTTGTGGTCATAGCAAAATGAACAAATAGCGAAAGAAACCAATATCTTTGGTACATAAACATATAAGTTTCATCAAAATCTGACTTCTAGAGGGTCCACAGCCATGGTATTACCATATTCTGGGTTGCTGGATTGCTGATACTTGAGTTTTTGTTACCCAGTTAGGTGTTGGTTGTTAATCAGACTATTGACTAGTCATAATTTGGAACAGAAATATTTTCCTTCATACTGCGGGAAGTATGTGGTATTACATACTTTTACACTATTTGCGTACAAGGAGCTGCCATTTTGTCAGGTAGTGTTGGTCCGATTTTCACGAAATTTCGAACTCAACTGTCATTACGATGTAACGGCGATACATTTAAACTTTTTTCTAACGTCGGATAAAAATTGTGACCTCCAGAGGGTCTACAAGCTAATCCAGTAATTAGTTAAAGTCAGATATGCGCAAATATCGAACGGAACCAAGATTTTTAGATTATAAGCATACATTATAAGTTTCTTCAAAATGTGATAAAAGTTGTGACTTCTAAGAGTGACAACGAAGTTACAGTCTGATATGCGCAAATATCGAAAGGAAACAAGATCTTTGAATTATAAACATACATTTTAAGTTCCATCAAAATCGGATAAAAGTTGTAACTTCTAAATGTCCACAACCTTGGTATTACACATTTTTACACTATTTGCGTACGATTAGCGGATATTTTTGTCCGGCAGTTTCGGTCAGATTTTTATGAAATTCGAACTCAACCTTCATTGATGTAATGGTGATATATTTAAACCTTTTAAAAATTGAATACAAATTGTGAATTCTAGCAGGTCAACAAGCTAAAAATGCGATTCTTGGGATAATCAGGGGTCATAATCCAGGAAGTTACGTTCGACTAAGCGCTATTATCGAAAGAAACCAAGATCTTTGTGATATAAATATGACCATGCGGCATGCGGTGCACGGGATTGTGAATATCCCACAAGAAACGCCAAGGCTGATTGGTTAATCAAATGGCTGATGTCATAGGATCAAAAGCCGCTCGTATGACTCCTGCTGCTACCTCCTACTACAACCAGTCGGATCTTCATGTAGTGGAGGCCATCAAAAGTTTAATTTAAAAAAAACAAACAAATTATTTTAATCAGATTGCAAGAGATTAAAGACATTATAAAATATATTTCTAGGTAAAAAAGATTTTATGATGGGAAGTAAGCCTACAGAAATAGATTGTATAGCATTTGGTATATTAGCACAAATTTTGTGGCACAGTCCTCAACAACCGTGTGAAAAATGGATAAATGGTAAATATAGTTATATGTCTTGAGGAAGCCACGATGGCTAAGTGAGTCAGACGCTGGCTTGCTGGTCTGACGGTCACAGGATCGCTTCCGCTGTTGACCGAGAAAGATTATTAGGATTCTCTGGTGTGGTTTCCCCTTGCCAATGGTGCAAGTCGTTCGGTTCGTATGAAAAACGGGGGTCCTGAGTATGCACTGACGTGCACGTGAAAGATATCTTGGCAGCTGGAATTCGATATAAGAGTAGGCCGTGGCGGGCAAAATTGCCCTCATAGCACATTGTACAATCTGATTAAAACACAGATCCTATGTCGTTTCGTTTTTTATAGTTCAAAATTTCAGTTTACTTGTCTTTACTACAGTAGGATCTGGAAGAGATGGTATATTACCGGCATTTTGGTTGAAGTGAGGGATAAGCCAATGAAACGGTCTGTTACGGCGACTTCTTGGCGTGTCATGCACGGAACTGTGGGTAAACCACTAGAAACGTCAACGCTGATGGATTAATTAATGTCTAATAGGGTCAAAAGCCGCTCGTACGACCCTTGACGCGACCTTCCACTACAACTGATCAGATCTTCATTTAGTTGAGGCCTTCGAAAGTATAAAAAAAAAACGAAACGAAATATAGATATGTATTTTAATCTCATAGGTCTCATAGGTCTCATAGCACACTGTATGGCGTATGCCCGTCTTCATTACCCCAGTCGGAGCAGAACAATAGGACGTTATAAACCCCATTTCATTTCATTTATTTTCATTTCATTTACATATCTTAAAATATTAAAGATAAACTATGTTAGATTTAGGTAAAGAGCTGAAACGTTCTTGCTATAAAAATTCAAAAATAGATAAGGCCTAATGAAAAATGAATATATTGAAAATTTCATACAAATTCATTATTCTGAGGAAGTTATATGAGTGTTGAAAGATGTTGAAAAGTTTATTTATTATCGTAGCAACGGTACTGGACAAACAAGGCTACATCTTAAAATACAAAAATAAAATAATTCATATCTGTTATTTATTTCTTTTTAGAAAAATATCTCAATTTAAAGAACTACTGCCTTCGGATGAAGGAATTATATTGGAAAGATTGGGATGAATGTATTACACATGGTGGTACAAGGGAGGCTACTCGTTAATGGATTATGGATACAGACCACAACAATGTAGTCATAGATTGTTCTTGAGGGGAACTACGATATAAAGATCAAGTCATTGAATCAGTGCCGGATTAACCTTGTGGGGGGCCCAGGACATACCAACTGTGCGGGGGCCCCATTGTTGTTTGTTCAAATTGGTCGTACTGACCGCGGATCGTACTAGTATGTACTCCACCCCCTTGAGTGCCTGGGGTGTTTTCCTCCAGGAATTTTTTTGTTTAAATTAGGATTAATTTCAGTGCATCTGAGACAATTTAGGCAGCGATTTCATTGACGTTTAGAATTCGTTGACAATTTGATTATTTTAAACAGACTCTTTATCTTATGATGTTTTCATTTACTTGTGGGGGGGGCCCTAAATGTGGGGGGCCCGGGACATTTGTCCCACTTTGCCCCCCCCCCCCCGATCCGGTACTTCATTGAATACCGCTTGGGTTATTCTACGGTTCACGAGATTGTATCCCTGCGCAAGTATTCAAGTATTCCACGAGCGGTATTCAATAGTCATTGAATTCTGTTTTAATTTTATAACTACATGCAAATTTCAAAATAAGAACAAATTAAATGGTCACTGAGTTCTGTAGACACTGTGTATCCAGATTATCAAAACAATCATCACCAATAACGACAAAATTAATCATAGGTTCCGACATTTTTTCAATTATTTTTTTTTTTACAAAAATGGTGGTTGCCAAGTAGTGGCGTCATTACAGTTGTGACGTCATTCTGGACAAAAGCAGTACGTCTCCAAGCCATTGAATACAACAGGAAGGCTGTAGCGCGGCTGTCCCGCAAAATTTCCTTCATAGCACACTACATTGTGTCTATCTTTCTTCATTAGCTCCACCGATGCAAAACAGAAGAATGTTAAACTCCATTTCCATTTACAAAAGATTCATAATCCATACAAGCGGCTTTTGACCCTATGCCGTCAAACATTTGATTAACCAATCAGCATTGATGTTTCTAATGGATTACCCACTGTTCCGAGCACCTCACGCCAAAATCTCTACCTCTATATAAGATAATACAATGGGGTTTTTCTGCAGGTTTTTTTTCTTGTATGAAATCCTTTTAAAATACATATTTTTTCTTTTATTTTGTTTTCTTATATACAGAATTGGAAAAACCATGAGCATACATGTATTCTATTATTAAGACCGAAACTGCTCTTTCAGGGGGTGTGGCACCACATATTCTCGAATCAATGGCCTGAACGAAACACTGCGAGGAGTAATATGGCGACAGGTACACGTTTGTAGAGGTTGCATTTCTTGCTGTACCGGTATAAAATTTGGTTATTTGTATTGAACCAAGTTTATATATCGTAGGAATTGTTAAAACATAAATAAACTTCGAGACTTGTATTTAAACAAATTGTAAATTAGGTAGCCATTACAGCCTGTGAGTACGGCAACTAGAAAGTAATCACAAGATAGCTTTATTTATGTGACCTTCAAGCCGTAATTTCACTCATGGACTCTGCGACCATTTGAATTCCAGATTTTGGGAGAGACAAAATCCTCTACAAGAAAATTGAAAATAATTATACGGCCGCAAACAAGTTTACCATTTTACAGCAACTTGAAAGTGGTCCATTATAGCCTTATTTATGTGGTTATACAACCAAAATTGCACATAGTGCACGTGACAAGGAGTAGGGTCGCCTGTCCAACCCTCGTGGGGTTTCTCCGGGTCCTCCGGTTTCCTCCCACTGCTAAAGACCCCTACGCGCAAGCGAATTATTGAAATAAAATTAAACCATATGCTAGTCACGAAATGACCTAGTTTGTGTCGAGTGAACGTTAAACCCCATTTCTCTCTCTCTCTCTCTCTCTCTCTCTCTGTGCACATAGTGCACTTAGAGCTGGGGGCAACTTGAAAGTCGTCCATTATAGCTTTAATAGCTTTATTTATATGGTCAATCAATATTACACTCAACTCACCAACTAGGGGTGGAGGCAGCTGATATTTTTATCAGATATTATTGTTAGATGTGGGGCTCTTAGTCCTTGTAGTTGTGAAGAATCAAATCAACGGAATGTTAAAAACAATTTAGAGAGAATTACTAGTCTGAATCCAAAACAAAATGAACTTTCTTCTTAGTTATCTCCCTTAGACTGAATTTGTAAAGAACGCATGATTTGGCAGCAATGGGAGAGAAATGGGGTTTAACGTCCACTCGACACAAACTAGGTCATTTCGGGATTAACATATGGTTCAATTTTATTTCAATAATTCGCTTGCGCGTAGGGGTCTTTAGCAGTGGGAGGAAACCGGAGGACCCGGAGAAAACCCACGAGATTGGACAGGGCAGCAATGGACACATTTAATTGGTGTAAATTGAAACCCCATTACATTAGCGGTAAAAAAAAAGGAGAAATAAAAGACAACACCATTATTTAATTAATCTTAGGTAATCTGCATGGGTTTTTTTATATTTTTTTTTTTCAGTCCGGGAAACTTGATCTCTTGTGTATTAATGGCTATCTTTTGTTGAGAGCTGGCGTATTCCGCAAGAACAAAAACTATCATAAATATTTGGGAAGGATTCAGAATATTAGATATTTAGACACGCCCCAGGCCAGGAACATGGGGTCGCGCCTTGGTATATAAAATGCTTTATTTTTCCGTTTTATGATTAAAATTATAATACGCTCTACAGAACGGGATTTTTCAGAATACGATTGAACGAAAGATGACTTTTTCTAGAACTGCGTAGAAAACAAAAATCAAACCCGGATGGTTTTCAAGAGTGAAACAATATGGCTTACTGGAAATGAAATGAAATGGGGTTTAACGTCCTACTGTTCTGCTCCGAACTGGGCTAATGAAGACGGGCATACGTATAGTGTGCTATGAGGAAAATTTGCTCGGACAGCGGCACTATCGCCTACTCTTATATCGAATTCCAACTGCCAAGGGATCTTTTACGTGCATTCCAATGTATACACGGGACCTCGGTTTTTCGTGTCATCCGAAGGACTAGACAGTTGTCCTTGTCAGCCCCTCCGTCCTGCATCACTGACAAGGGGGAACCACGCCGGAAAATCTGGATGAACTTTCTCGGCCAATGCAGGGATCGAACACCCGACCTCCAGGCTAGCGAGCCAGCGTCTTACCCACTTAGCCACGTGATCCCCATGGCTTTCTGGAACAAGCTTCCACTCTTTATAAATGCGATATTTTTGTTTAATATCGTTCGTAGATAATTCACTGTACAAAAAAAAAGAAATGGCGAATTCAATTTTATCAATCAATACCCAATGGAGATATCAATAATGCTTAAAACAAAGTCCAGTGACAACATTAATGGAGTTTTTGTGTAAAGGTCGATGCTGAAAGGATATTATGTTAAATGAGAAAGCATTTGGGGTTTAATTGTCAAGAATTTAAAAAGCACACATTGAATAACCTTTAAAATTCTAGAAGAAATTTAAGATACGATTCATTGACCTCGTCACGTACAAAATAAGTGCCCACATTCTGCATCTTATAAGCAGAGGCTGAACAAATGAAATGAAATGAAATGGGGTTTAACGTCTTACTGTTCTGCTCCGACTGGGCTAATGAAGACGGGCATACGCCATACACTGGCACTACGGCCAGCGGCACTACGGCCTACTCTTATATCTAATTCCAACTGTCAAGGAATCTTTTGTGTGCACGCGAATGTGTACACGGGACCTCGGTTTTTCGTCCCATCCGAACGACTAGACAGCTGCCCTTTGTCAGGCCCCCCGTCCTGCATCACTGACAAGGGGGAACCACGCAGGAAAATCTGGATGAACATTCTCGGCCAATGCAGGGATCGAACACCCGACCTCCAGGCTAGCGAGCCAGCGTCTTACCCACTTAGCCACCGTGGTCCCCAGAGGCGGAACACGAGAGAAAGGGAGAGAAATGGAGTTTAATCTCCACTCGACACAAACTAGGTCATTTCGGGACTAACATGGATTATGGTTTAATTTTATTTCAATAATTCGCTTGTGCAAAGGGGGTATTTAGCAGTGGGAGGAAACCCAAGGACTTGGAGAAAACCCACGAGGTTGACATCAACCATGGATTCGAAACCACGCCAGTTGACTCAAAGAAAGACCTTACGATACAGAGCGCACGTGCTAACCATTTGGCCATCCAGCACCCCCACCCCACGGAGGTGGATCAAGGCCTCAGGTGGGTCATAGGCCCTTTGCCCACAGATAACTATAATCTATTTCGAGAATATATCCTTGCTCTGAATGGCCGCCATATCCAAAAATTAGTATACTATTTTGTGACTCGGTTCCATTCCATTTCACATCGTCATCCACACACAAATTAAATAAACATCTTTCATTCAATTAAATGGAAGCGGAATAAGACTTCTCAAAATTCTCAAAATATATTTAGTGTTTTCGACTAAAATCGTCGATTTAGGAGTTAAGATGTCGGTCAACTAACTTAGTGTCTGTTCTCAAGTGGAGCTAATTGTAGACAGACAGGGTACGTTTAGTATGGAGCGTCGGCAGTTCAACCAAGAGGGCCGTTTGCGAAACTTGACCGTTATAGACGAAAATACCAGAAGGTGTGAAAATACTGATATACATAAAAAAAATTAGGCCCGTTTTCGCCGTCGAAAAAGTCGGTCTAATGCGCACCGACGGAGACGCGCGCGAAAACGCGGGTGTACATGGAAAACAGGCTTTAGTCTGATATTATCATATCAGTTTGCCTGCGGCAATCACGTGATTCTCTGAGCCAGGTATAAAACAAAACAAAACTGTAATTAATAGAGGTACGAGCAGTGGCCAAGTGATGAAAAAAAGAAAATTTTAGTGGATAAGCTTATAAAAGGAAACATATTCCATCCAGCAAAATGAAGTTCCGAAATCCGGTCCGTGCGCCTATGACTACACACTATTTTCATGTTATGGACCACATATAATGCTTCCCATAACAATGACAATCTAATATTTCTGAGCTAGTTTTGGTCAACTAGGGCAAGGAATTCGGCCTTAAAAATTCTTCGTCGGCCACCATAACGTCATAAGTAAATGACGTAAACCGAAGGGTTTCAAATTAATTTATATGGCGATATTAGCCCTATCGCTTTCAGTTTCCACAGAACGCGTTTTCAAATTAATCAAATAATCATTAGAATATAATAATAAACTATAAAACATGGAAGAACAATTGCTGATTTATTAAAGATACATTAGTTAAAAAGGTAAATTGCTGAAAATTTCAGTCAAATTGATCCACTATGAGCCGAGAACGAAGCGGGTGAAATTTTCCCATAGTCTCGGTCATCATTACTAAAATCATTAATATAAACAGCATAGTCTCAATTATCCACTGTTTTGATTTAATTATCAATGGCCGTTAAGCGGCATATAGGAATCTAATCCAGCCAACATCGAAGGCTAGCCCTGACATCGAGAGTTTATTATGGTCTGGATAAGTTAATTAATGTCTAATTGATAATTTAGATAACATTTCAGGCCTAAAGAAAGATTTGTAATAAGCAGATTTTGCTCTTGCATAATGCATGTTTATGGCGACTTTTCAAAAAGTATTCTCTCAACGTTTTCAAGCACGTCGCATAAATAAATCAGTAATTGTTCTTCCATAAGTATGTCTTATAGTTTATTGCTCTATCCAGTTATCAAATGCCTCTAAAAGAAGATTACGGTATAATAGAAACACACCTTCTATGTATATTACACAGATATTTTATGATATTTATTAATCTATGCCTAACGCCTGTATAACAGATTAAACATACATTATGCAAGAGCTAAATCTGCATATAGCAGGTCTTTCTTTATGTCTGGAATGTTTTAAATTATTAATTTAACCTATCCAGACCATAATTAACTCTCGATGCCATCGCTACCCTGCGATATTTAGCGTATTGAAATACATTTTTTTTTTTAAGTAATTAAACGTGAAAGTTGATAATCGAGACTTTGTTTTTATCTCACCGACTCTAATAATTATGATCGAGGCTAGCCTAAAATTAAAAAGCTAATATCTCGGTTCAGAGTGGTGCAATTTGACTGAAATTTTCAGCATATTCTATTTACGTTATCTATTTTTTGTTTTAACTATAGCGAGAACTGTCAACACTAATCTCCCATAATGTCCCTTTAAAACTCTAATCGTATTCAGCTGCCTATCACACATTATGCTAATGTTGTCGCATCAATTAAAGATACATTATGGGAGATTAGATAGCGAGTTGGCAGTTCTCACTATAATAATTAAAAACTAGGTAACGTCAAGGCAATTTGCTGTAAATTTCATTCAAACTGATCCACTATGAACCGAGAACTAAGCGAATGAAATTTCTGCCTAGCCTCGATCATCATTACTAAAGACAGTACGTTAAACAGCATAGTCTCGATTATCCAGTTAATCGTTTAATCGAGAAGGAAAGTTATGCAGTAAATCGGATCACAATCCACTTAAGATCGCAGGCTAGCGATGCCATCTAAAGTTGATTATAGTCTGGATAAGTTAATTAATGTCTAATTAATAATTTAGATAACATTTCAGGCCTAAAGAAAGACCTGCAATAGACATATTTAGCTCTTGCATAATGTATGTATAAGTGCGCTTTTTGTCCGCTGATTTTGTGGTTCTATAAATTCATTGAAATTGACAGATTAAATTAACAAAACAAAACAATTTGTGCCGCCTTTTAGATTACATATGAAAACTAAAAAACATTGCATAATACAAAACTAGAATTCAATTATAATGCGGTTAATAACGACATAAATTAACTTAATAATAAAGAAAAAAGAAAGCAAAAAGAAACTAAAGTGCTAAGATGTACTCACGCTATCAGTGAAAAGTTTTTATGAAAATGAAAAATTATAACCACAGCATTATATAGGCTATTATATACTCATAACGCGGACGTGATTGAAAACAATTAAAATGACGTCATTGAATACAGTTATTAGATCTCCAAAATTCTAAAAATTGTGTTTCTTTTTTTCAGTAAATCTTCAATTTTAAGTAGTACATTAATAATAACCTACTCAATTTTAATTACTTAATTTTATATCCGATATTTTCTTTCAATTTGCAGGGGAAATTAATTTAATTTTGTAGGTATTCTAGCCAAGAATGGGGTAACAAGTTAGATTAAGAGCGAAATTTAATTAAGTTATGGTTAAATTAACTATTAATTAATATTACATTCGGCTTTCACATCCCTTGAAAGTTGTGATACGATATAAGAGTAGGTCGTAGTGGCGCTGTCTGGACAAAATTCCCCTGTTAGCTCACTGTATGGCGTATGCCTGTCTTCATTAGCCCAGTCGGGGCAGAACAGTAGAGAGTTAAATGGGGCAATAACACTCTTGCTGGCTTGACAGGTCCAGAAAATAAAAAAAAGCCTTATTCTAAGTACTAGATGTGTTAGTGTCCTACCTGTTGTGTAAATTATCCATTAAATCCTTTTTTACTTGTCCAGAGGGTTCAAAAATATTTTTAAATCCAAGTCACATTTGAAAAGCTTTACGTCAGGCTTTTCAAATCATTTAGTTGAATTTTTCTATTTTTTTAAATTAGGTGTGTTAAGATCAAATTTGTATCATCAATTAATTGGAATATTGTAAAATACATGTAGTACAATTTGTTGACCAGAATAAAGATTGGGACATATTATTCAGTTACAACAAGAGTGGTATTGAGCCTTTAATGCGCCATGAGGGAAATTTTGCCCAGACAAGCGCGCTACGGCCTACTTTCATTTCGAATTACAGCTGTCAAGGATTCTTTTATGTGCACGACAATGTGTACACGGGACCTCGGCTTTTCGTCCCATCCAAACGACTAACCATGCAAGTAGAAATAGAATAAAAGACTCCTTATTATATACATGCAGGCTATATACTAAATGTTTTAATAAGTAAACTAATTTTGTGAATATATCGAAAAACAGGGAGTTTTCTGTCTAAAATTCATAAACGAAATTTAATCCCATTTGTCATTCGTTCCGGAATAAAATATGAAATTATTATATCGCTTCTGTTTTAATATCTTAAACAATTTTGTAAAGATATATATATATATAAAGAGAGAGAGAGAGAGAGAGAGAGAGAGATGGGGTTTAACGTCTACTCGACACAAACTAGGTCATTTCGGGACTAACATATGGTTTTAATTTTATTTCAATAATTCGCTTGCGCGTAGGGGTCTTTAGCAGTGGGAGGAAACCGGAGGACCCGGAGAAAACCCACGAGGTTGGACAGGCGATCCTACTCCTTGTCACGTAAAACCGGGGATTCGAAACCACGCCAGTTGAATAAAGATATAGAAGTACGCCGATAATAAACAAACAATAAAAAGGGAGTCTTCTGCCTTAAGATCATAAACGACATTTAACCGCATTTGTTATTTGAGCAGGATTAAAATATGATAAAAGTCGAAAAAAAATGCCTCCCATGCAAGTAAAAAAAGGAATGAAAGACTTTGTATTATATTTCTACTTAGTTATAGGCCGATACTAAATGTTGTAATGAGTAAAATAATTTTGTGATTATAAACAGTAACGAAAGGGCGTATTCTGTCTAAAATTAATAGACGAAGTTTAAAGGAGCTAAATCGCTAATATTTGGGACCTAGAAATTGACACAAATGGGTCGCAACGCATATAATAATGTAATATGAATGTATATAATCTGATTTACATTCAATCGCTTCCGTTTTTATATTCCGTTATGTTCTGTGAGATACGCCAGAAGTCTCAATCGAATGACAATCTCTATACGTCTGTTATTCCAGTCTACACCGATAGTATTTATTGCGCATGCTCTCCAGATAAGAATATGCCGTCACCACTTGACATGACTTGTGGAATATGTCTAGCCGCCTTCTTCGAGTCCCTTGTTACAAATTGCACTGAAACGCATTATGGTACACGATTCGTGTAACAATGGTAAAATGTTTATTTTGTCTTAAATGTTGAATATCAGAAGCCCATCTTTCCTCGGTAAGATCACAACATCAATGTTGATTTAAATTGGCAAATAATTCGTATTTTCAATGTTGAGGACTTTGAATGGTATTGAGTGAGAGACTTAGCTACTTTAACCTCATTTGTCATTTGTGCAGGATTAAAATGAGATAAAAGTCGGAAATTGTTGAATCCCATATCGCTACGTACATAATTATGGGCTATAGTAAATGTTTATTTTTGTGAATATATCCAAGTATAATGATGCTAAAGAAACAATAAATTCATACACGAAATTTAACCTCATTCATCATTTTTTCAGATTAAAATATGATAGGCCCTATATAATATAAACGCCCACTCGACACAAACTGGTATATTTCGGAACTAACACATGGTTCAAGTGTATTTCAATAATTCTCTTGCGCATAGGGGTCTGTAGTAGTGAGAGGAAACCGGAGGACCCGGAGAAAACCCACGGGGTTGGACAGGCGACCCTACTCCCTGTCGCGTACAACCGGTGAATCGAAACCACGTCAGTTAACTTAATGATAGACCTCATGATACAGCGCGCACGCACTAACCATTCGGACATCCAACCCCCACGTCGGAAAAGTTTGTACCCCATGTTTGCAGAAATGGAATTAAACACTCCTTATTGCATTTCTACTTAACCATATATAAGCTATATTATAATAATATAATAATGCTTTATTACACAACTGCATGGTATATACACGAGTATGGTAAGCATACACAATACAAATTACAATACAATAATAAACATCAAAGAACATAGAATAAAGTTTACAGAGGTTTCTAAAAGTATATTAAATTATATTAATAATGCTTAAGTAAGGCCTTACATAGCAAATGATATACTAAATGTTTTAATAAATAAAATAATTTTATGAACATATCGAAAAATACTTGATGACTAAAAAAACAATAAAAAGGGCGCGTCTTGTGTCTAAAATTCATACACGGAATTTAACCCCATTTGTCATTTGAGTAGGATTAAATATAATAAAAGTCGGAAATGATTGATACTCAGCTGAAGGGGGAAAACCCACATGGCTTCCATCCATCAACAAGATAGAATAGACATAAGTAAAATGATATCTATATACGTAGGTATACACTTTCTTATATCTATGTACTGAAGTGTCTGGATGAACGGGGCTCAGCCCACAGATTTCCAAAAATAGCCGACAATTTAGCGAGTACAGAAACCGAAGCAGAACTTTTCGGCCCAAATGTGACTTTCGCTTAAAATGGCCGACTTGGGTGGATTATCAGAAGAGGAGTTAGATGAATTGGATATAGACGAACTTTTAGCACGTGTGGAACGCAAACCGCTAACTTTTTCGAGGACTAAATCGCTAAATCAAGGTAAGGCATCAAGCTCCTATCACCCTTCCCCCATCACGTATACACTGTACTTAGCACTATTTGAGAGTATTAGCTCTCTAGGATACGCACCTCTCGTAGGTGTAGAGCTGTAAGAATTTATGTGTTATGAATGCTAGTTACAAATGTCTTAACATAGTCCCCGTGATAAGACAGCTAACGTAAAGCACGCGAAGTTTTTCCTAAATTATATCCTACTCACTCGAAATCTCAAGTGAACTTTTTCTTATCTTCGACACAGCCTACAAGTCTAGCCTTATTATCTCAAGGGTTACAGTAACATTCAACTTCGATCTCGGGAGATCTTCTGCTCCATTTTACAAAGATTCGATAAAAAATGCTCTTGGTTGCTGAGTAATAATATCATGAAATATTAATAAGTTTACGGTTGTAAAACTCCGGCATGGTTTCTCTATAGTTTACAAGATTCGATAAAAATACTCTTGGTTGCTTAGAGATCGAATTACAATATTATGAAGGATAGAAGTTCGGCAATGTTGATTTACACCTCAATAGTAATAGAATGCTAGCCATTTTTCGAATATTTATTGAATTTCTGAACTGCGTTAGAATCAATTATAAAGGTTACACTGACAAAATACTTTGAGGCGCAGTGCGGAAGGCAATTCTTAAAGAAGCAATGAGAGAGAGAGAGAGAGAGAGAGAGAGAGAGAGAGTAACGTCCACTCGACACAAACTAGGTCATTTCGGGACTAACATACAGTTCAATTTTATTTCATTAGTTCGCTTACGCATAGGAGTCTTTAGCTGTGGGAGGAAACCGGGGGACCCAGAAGAAACCCACGAGGTTGGACAGGCGATCCCACTCCTTGCGGAAGAAGCAATTAGAGCCTATGTTATGATTGCATCATTCTTATTTTATTAAACCTATAGATTTCCTATAGTGTTAGACACGGTGCGGATTTTATTTCAAAATATGAAATGTATTCGCTTGAATATATTAAAAATTGGCAATAAATGTCTACGCAGTCTTCTTTGGGTGGTATTTAGCAATTGACAAACGTAATAAACACAAAAACATAATTGTGGAACGCAATTACTATTTTAATTAAAGCTACGTTTTGTTGAGGGTCCTCTCAACGTTTTCAAACAAATGATGATGAATATAATATACAGAAGGTTTATATACAAGGTCTACGTAGAATGTTTACAGTTTGTAGGACTGACGAGGACAGCTGTCTAGTCGTTCGGATGGGACGAAAAACCGAGGTCCCGTGTTCACATTGGCATGCACGTAAAAGATCCCTTGGCATTTGGAATTCGATATAAGAATAGGCCATAGTGCCGCTGTCCGGGTAAAATTTCTCTCATAGCGCACTGTATATGGTGTATGCCCATCTTCATTAGTCCAGTTTGAGCAGAACAGTAGGACGTTAAACCCCATTTCATTTATATACAAGGTCTACGTAGAATGTTTACAGTTTTGTTGATACTGATATACACAGTGGTGGGATATTTCCTTATTTATTTGAAAGGTTTAGATATAGCTATTAATTTTCGTTTCACTTGTCGCCTGTCCAACCTCGAGGGTTTTCTCCGGGTCCTACGGTTTCCTCCTACTGCTAAAGACCCCTACGCCCAGCGAATTGTTGAAATAAAATTGAACCATATGTTAGTCCCGAAATGACCTATAGTTTGTCTCGAGTGGAGTGTTACCCCCCCCCCCCCCTCTCTTTCTCTCTTTTCTCTCTCTCTCATTTCACTTGTGCACTAAATAATTTAGATCATAGATGTTTTCATAGACTCGCTATGATTCTGACCTTGAAAATAATATTGAGATCGAGTGTTATAGATACCAAACTGTTTGATTTGATTGAGGCATGCGCGTGTTTTGGAAATATGCCTTGTTATTGTTTTGACAGACTATATCCCATTGGCTGTGCTCAGACATAACTATTTTTATAGCGGGTTGTAGAAATCGAATCTTTATGAAAGTTAATACGTGTATTGGCTACTTGGATGATAAGATCAGTTGTTTATTACACGATAACGCCCATTAACATACACGTAATAGTATATAACCTTACATGCCAAATAATCATCAATATTTTGGACTGAACCCCAGTGTGTTGGTGTTAATGTTCTTTGGTCTGCAGTATGTCGCGGGAGCAGTACTGGTGGCTCAATTTCCCTCATAGGCCCACACTGTATGGCGTATGCTCTTCTTCATTAATTATAGCCTAGCAAGTGCTGAACAGTAGGACGTTAAACCCCATTTCATTTCATTACATAACATTACATGAAAAATAACAATCAGACGTTACGTGATCTGTCTTAGTCTCTCGTATTGTTCTTTCTTTTTTAACACAGTTATAAGACATTAGAACTATTAATTCACCTCGCCCGCGCCTTCATTAGACCAGCACGTGCAGAAAAATAGGATGTTAAACCCCATGTCATTTCATTAATTTGTAGTCAATAGTGACCCATGCACCTACAGAAATACAGTCAATAGCTGATAGTTCGAGACTACCACTGAAGCGTGCACATTCGCCGTGTCGGGGCCAACTTTCTGACAGTATGATACTATAAATAGCCATGGCACGTGCAATTCTCTACAAATCTATCAACTATTACAGCCGTAAAAAAATTATTGTTGACGATTTTGAATAGCAGTAAAATTAAGCTTCTTGGTTATTACAGCAGATTTAGAAATTACGTTCGTTTCATTTTTTAAATCGCTTTATCATTAACTGTACCGTTAAGAGCGGCATCTTTTGGTTTAGTACAAATAATATCTCTGAAACACTCGGGTTAGACAGGAACATGATACTAGCAGTAGTTTCATTTTACTTTTACAAGGTTCTTAAAACAATTGTTGAGCTAGCTAACGTGCTCATTTCTAAATTCAATTTCTTGTTCTAGCTTTCTGTTATGTTTCGTAAAAAAGTAGTCTTGATTATCCCGACCTGTCAATCAGACGTAGAATGGTCGATAGACTGGTTAAGCGAGACTAATTTCAAAACAAGGGCACGTAAACTATCTTTTACTCAAAAGTGTCTGGATGTTATGGACGACACATGGAACCAGTTTTCAGTCTATTATTTATAGATGATTAATGGTCATAGCTTATTAAGTACAACATGATCGTTTATTTAGTGACTATAATTGTGTGAAACTGATTTGAGGCTTGGCATATATATAAAGTTTGTGGCGAAATTGTCGAGATATATGGAGATATTTATTTATGGTGGGTCATCCTATCAATAGACGAAATCCATCACACAACCCAGGTAAAGGGGTAAACAAATCCAGCCAGATGACTGATTGGTTGATGTTTTACATCTGCTTCTGCAGTAGGTAGTTATCAACTGTCATTAATATACTGGGACAAATCATTTCACTGTGATATTCGATACCATTTTTAAATCCCCCCCCCCCCCTCTACTTTCGTTTTTGGAATTTCTGCTTTCACATCATCAAAGAAAGATTAGTTCTATGTGTTATTTTATGATGGCAATGCGTTTACAACAATCTGATATCTTTGACATCATAGATGGGACGCCATTTCTTTGAAAATATCCGTGTGTGTAACTCTAAATGCATCATCAAGTATACACGCTGGCCACAGACGACAATATCTTATCTGAGAATAATAATAACGGCAATACCAGAGACTATGTATATTATTATTGTATCAAAACGCCTACAACAGGCGGTATACAACATAAATGATGCTCAAAACAGAAAAACAAACAAAAAGAATTCCATGAAACAAGTAGAACAGACCTAATTGTGAATCATTCGTGGTAACGTTTAGTAAAAACATGATAATGATATATAAAACAATGTAAAAAAAACAACAGAAAAACAAGATAGAAAAACTTAAAACCAAATTTCATGAAACAAGAACATAATGAGACATTATTATTAAACAGACATTGTTAAAGATACATTATGTAAGATTTAGATAAAGAGCTGACCATTCTTGCTATAATAGTTCGAAAATAGATAATGTAAAAATTACTCCATTGCGAGCGAAGATATTGGCCTTTGATGGTTTGACAAGACGTGTGCAATAATTTCAACCACCGTACTGGTTGTTCGAAGCTAAGTCTCGCTCCTTAATATTTAGCTTAAATCAAAATATGGCTGAACTGTTCTAATCTATTTAATATCGGAGAAATCCGATACCATCGAGAGTTGATTATGGTCTGGATAAATAAATGTATGTATTAGGTTGGGATATCTCTGGGTGTAGAAGTGGTTCCACTACTGACGTCTTCCGTCTTGCTCCTGTGGATAAGATAGGACGTGTGTACAAGACAGTAGCTACGTGTATGGTCTCTATCATCCAGAAAAATATTCTACGAATATTAGTCTGGATGCGTTGTCCACATTTGAGAATAATAGTCCATTGCGCTAGATCATCCGGTCTTTTGCATTATCATAAACAACGTCTAAGGGAGGTAACTCCTCTTAAAACAAGATGTTTACGCCCATGAAATTAATTTAAGAATGTCATTTCAAACAATCCATTTGATTGCAAGCCAGTTCAGCATCCAACACTCTTAATTTTTTTATTGTAAAATCTCTCTCTTCATGGGTCATATCTATGCTTTTAAAATTAATCCTAATTCGTCGTCACGATTCATGTTTGTTTATATTAATGCAAGAATTGTGGGATTTATTATGGGACGGGGCGCATATTCTTATTCGACTTGGTCAAAGATACTGGATAATCAACCACATTAAAAACCAAACTCCCGGTTACGCATGGGCAATGGGCTTTAAGTCAAATATTGACAACGGTCCCAGACCCTCCGTATGTTGAAATCTAGGAGGTTCTGGGTGACCGAGACTACTACGTGGATGGTTATGTTTAGCAAAAGCATGATATATAAAACGGAAAAAAGAATTAAAAGACAGAAAAAATCAACAATAGTCCATGAAACAAGAATGTAATAAGCAAAAAATGGGAATCATGCTAGAAACACTACGTATGCATAACTGATAGAAAA